TTCAGGTGCGCAACACAACCGTTTTTTAGGAAATAGCATCGACCTGCTTAAAAATTGGCATATAATTTTCGGCTCCAGAGAAAGGAAATTTTGCTTGACCGGCAGACTAAATAAAGCTAAATAAAGCTCTTGGCGTTGAACAATCTTTAAGGAATGCGCCATGCACTTGATTTCATTAAGCAACGTTGGAGATGATTGAATGCATATCTGGCCTTTACATTGACTTGCGGTGGCCTATCGATGTGTCGAGCTAGTGCTGCTAATCTCCGAGACAGGTCTGGTATTAATTTGCCAACCCAGAGGGATGGAGGGCTGGGTGGGCCACCATGGGCACCGGGACCGATTCTACGTTTGTTGCAGAGCGTCTCCAACCACTGCGCCACCCTCCTCCCTACCAGCAAACTACCGGCCAAAAATTGTGGTACTTTCGCGGTCTCCCGTGATTGCTGGGGAAGTTTTATTTAAACTACCATTTCGTAATACCACAAAACCGCATAAATCGCATGTTTGGAAGGCTTTCTGATTGCCCATATTCTAACCGCTATAAATTCTTACTTTCTAAAGGAATTTTGACTGTTATATAGCTAGAAAACGGCTAACGCTGAGATGTTTATTTCTTCAATTTATTGCAAGCTATCGTGCCAACTAACACCGTATTGGTTTGTGAGGAACATATAGCGCAGCGGTTAGAGACGCGCTGCAATACACACGGGATTGATCCTGTGTCCTAGATCCACCATGTTTTCCATACCCCTGGATCGGAAAATTGGTGCCAGACTTGTCTGGGAGGAGAGTAGCACTGACCCGACACATAAGTAGATCACCGAGTAGTTGTTATAAGCCCCAGATATGCATTCATGCTCAATGAAGTTGAACGTGTAGCTCATCCCTCAGGGTTTGATCAATGTAGGGAGCTTTATCCTTTACTTATTATCGTGCCAACTTCTTGTCAGATCACTTGGTTGGTGAGTTTGCTGTAACGTTATCCGACATGATCCGAGCACGTTTGTTATGAAAGAATAATGGATAGGGCATTCGGCATTGATCAATTCTTTAGCATGGATAATCAAAATACTCGAAAGAGCTCAAACGTTAGCCACTACAGCGAGAGTTGTGACAACCTCGTTCAAAATTCCTAATTCTAAAGTGCATCATGCCGGTGTTTTCTTTTTTCGGACAACCATGGTAATCGTATCAATTTATCGAATTCGAAAAGAAAAAAGGCTGGTTTGCACAGATTGCCGGGCTAAACCGGGGACAGAGATTGCACAAGCGATCAAGGCATCTGTTGTCATCACGTTGCACATACTTTATGTTACTATATTATTTATAAAAGCTACTTCTGTACGATTTATAATAGAACACTGTAATAGCAAAAATTATACTACTTGCAGTAAAAAATCTGTACCACTCGTAATTTTGGATGATTCCCTGCGTTTGAGAACAAATAAAACGCCGTGAGCTCATGTGCTCTTGCGTGGCCGTTCTGCAGTTTTCGTTACGGCTAATGTTTAACCATTTTTCGTAGATTTTCATAGAAATGTTTCAAATAGGATCCAAAAGGTAGGCAGTTTCTTTCAACGTATGGTGCGTTTGGTGTTTTTCGTCGTAACACCAAAGTACGCGTGGCATCTCTTCAAGAGCTTCACTACAGTGCTAACTCAATCTCATGAACGGCTTAGAGAATGCATACAAACATCCTACTATGAATGGAAGGAAGTGAATGTCCTTATTAAAGTCAGCAAATTTAAGCCGATAGATAACAAAGGCCGTATAGCAAAATAAAAAGGATTCCGCTATGGTGCGTAATAAAGAATTACCACTTTTTAACTTATCAAAGAAGTTCTAAACTGCGAACCTGCTAAAAATCAATCTTGCGGACGTATATAACTTGTTCGTGCACGGTATCTGTTTAAGGGGGGTCCTTTAACGCAATAGGAATATTTAGTCGTCAAGACTGCTGTTTTAAAATGTAAAAAATGCAGTCGAGGACTATTGTAAGAGGACTTCTTTAAGAATCGGACAAAAATTGTTGCTTCCTTCATGTTCTCTAGTGAAAAAACCTACTGAATAACTTCTACAGTCATTTCCAAATCTTTCGTGATTTTTACGAAAGCCTTCAAGTTACTGAGAATCATAGACGATGCTCTATTCATAAAAATCACTTTTCCTTTACGTACTACTTTTATCATATACTGTGCGTACTTCGTCATTTATTCCGTTTAGTTTGCCTTCTTCCATCCATCATTCACGAAGGTCTCCTATTTACGCGTAGTTTCGTTCAATCCCTATGGTGTCCATTCCGTGCACGTCATATTGAATAAACATTTAAGGACCTTAAATGATGGAGTTCGGGGTGTAACGATAGGAGAATTAACGACATTACCAAATCGTTAAAGTGGCCGTTTTTAACTCTGTCTTTGTTAGAAACTTTCGGTAAAAATAAAAAGAAAAGGCATATATGCCTTGTAAAAAGAATTTAACTATGTTAACGTGAATCTAATTGTAGGAAGGGCGAAGCATTTCTAGTAATGAGATCATCTTCGAAGTTTCCGTCCAGTATAAGTTACGATTCTTAACAGCATTTTTTTATAGTTCCCAGGATCGACTTTCTATTAACCTCGGCATTGGAATATGAATGCGTCGTTTTCTTGTTCAGCATTCGCGAGGTTTTTAAACAGCATACATTTACTTCCTTCCATAGAAAAACACAGTACAACACAACAGTAGCTGACGTTTCGGCAGTATCGCCTTCTTCAGAGCCGCTTTTTCGTGACTTCCAATGAGGAAGCTTAGAACAGTCGCATATGCGACTATAATCAGCTGCGACTAAAGTCCTTCTATCTTTCCATATCCATATCCTATCCATAGCCATTGTACTTTTTGTAAGTGTTATTGAAGCGTTTGGCCTAGTAGATTGTATATCAGTATACCCTTCCAGGCTCTGAAGAAGGCGATACTGCCGAAACCTCGGCTGGCGTTGTATTGTACTGTTTTTCTATGGAAGTAAATGTATGCTGTTTAAAAACGTCGCGATTGCTGAGCAAGAAAACGAAGCATTTTTTAAATTTACGGCAAAAAGTGACTGAACCATATCCTACGGCGTTCCACGGAAAGTTGGTCAATGTTGACTCCACTTGACAAATTTACATTTAAAGGGTCATAAATTCTTCATCATTCATGGGAGATATGATCGTGCGCTAAAACTTCTGAGGAGTTACCTAAAGCAGTATTTTAAGGGAGTGTGAAATCCGCTACGGACTGAAGCGTCTTGTTTCGCGAGGGAGAAAATGCTTCCTGAAGATTCGCCTGCTCCAGGAACCCGATGTTTTAATCTAGCCACTTCTTTATCCCAAAAAACTCAAACATAACAAGGAGAGTGATGTTTTTTTTCGCGCCGTTTCTTAATGCAAAGAATAAAACTTGTTATGAGCTGAGCTATATGCGGCTGCTGGGAAACATTAAATGCCTACACGAACCATATTATTTTAGGAAACTAAATTTGCTCAAAATCTTGTGAAGCAGAAGGTACATCTTGCTGACATTTTAATGGTAGAGTAATTCTCCTACGTTCTGAACTGAGCTGATCGTAATATCGCGTTTTCGGTCGTCAGCCCAATCTGCCACATACCGTTTTAGATAGAAGGAAAATCTAATTATTATTAGAATTCTCGAAGTACCGCGACAGTAGTGGTATGAATTGGAGCCTAATTAGGCTTTCGAAAAAGTGTCAAGCTTGTTCGCCTCTGGGATGATAAAGAGAAGTGGAGAAGGGCTCACTTTTGGTTGTACATCGTAGCTGGCCATTCGGCAGTGGAATCTCGCAGTACAAGTTATTACTGTTAAGAGAATTTTTTGAAGATTATTCAGCAAAACAATCAATATGTTTTCTTATCTAGCAGTGTTATTCGGGTTGTCAGATTCGAAGTCCATATTGGTGAAAATGAATGCCTACGGGTTGCACTGCTACAATTTACCAGTTGTTCAGAAGCTTGCTTGTTGTGATTTCAGAATTAATGTTGTCGTTACTAGTACATCACTTTAATCGCATGTAATACCTTTAACACAAACAACTCGAGCAGTCACAATAAAATGTCTATCTATCCCTATAAAAGAAAGCGACCCACATCACATTTCTTATGCAATGCTAGTGAAAGGAAACCCACAGACACCGTGTGCAGCTTCGCTAGGACATTTTTATTGTATGCCAAGATTTCTAGCGAAATACTTTAGGATCGTTGGAATGGATGACCTTGCTGAATGATTTTCTGATCTAAATCCCATCAAACACTAACTAGAACAATCCTAACCTTTTCATTTACTGCCTATTCTTTTTAATGGTAGGGTATGTTGAGAAATATAACTTCTATAATGCTGAGATATTTGCAAAACTCCGCACTAAAGGTGTTGCGGTGGGGACGAACGCGCTATTGTCCTTTCCGGGGAGTAACGCGTTCACCACCACACCATGCCGGTCCCTCGTTTTGCCTGTCTCTCAGATAGTTCTATCGATCTTTTGCCATCAACAATCACCCGTCAACGGGATTGATCTGGGGAGCTCACATCGGCATTGAACCCAGTTAAGCTGAGGCTATAGTTATAGTCACAATCTTAACCTTTTTATTTACTGCCCATTCTCTTTAACGGCAGACTAAGCAGAACACTCGATCAGTCACAATGAAGTGATAAGCCATTGTAGATGTGGTCATATGAACACCGTATAGTTTGAAAGTTTTTATGATCCTCTTTCTTTTTTCATTCATACAAAAGTAATTAGTGCCAAGTACATTGCATAAATTATTGGAGGTTTGCAGCGATAAAGTCTTTGAACAAAATGGGCGAGATCATCTTAAGCACATTGTAGCAAATGTTCAAAATACTTTAGTGAATTGTATCGACGTTATGGGATCTGTAAAGGTGAAAGGATGACAAAAGTTAGGGTGAACACTCAACGAATTATCGGAATACAGGAGAGTGACTATCTTCTGGTTACTTTCCGGTTATTTGACAGCAACTGCAGCTCCAGCATCATCATTACCCATCATTTCTACGGCTTTGGCTAACTGTGATGCTGTCATGTCTGGGCACGCCTCGTACCCGCCGTCATCGTCATCCGCCTTCGCCGTTTTCTTCTGAAATTCCCGAAAAAAAGTGCAGAAGTTTTTAAAATGTTCTATTAGCCTACTCATTTGATGTGAAGCGCAATCATTACGAATGTGTTGCTGTGATAGTTCAGTTGTTGAAGTACTTAAAATCTAGTCATGACCGATCTGATAATAGTCGGACTGAAGAGTCCAGCAAAAAGGAGGTCAAAAACAGAGCTTAAAATTTTTAAGCAGCTACTTTACAACCATTTTGCAAACCACAGTAACAGCTTTGAATGAAGAGTTGCTAGGGTGCGGATCCATGCATAGAAGGCCCACATAGACAATTAGTTTCAGCTACGTGAAAAAAAAAACAAAGACCAATTCGAATCACCAAAAATTTAAAGCTAAACAGAGTGCTTAGAAATCAGTCAAGTTAACTTTGTTTGTTACTTTGCCTGTAAACATTTAGACGGAAACCTGGTTTAGATTCTGTCTTCACCACCTAACAACGCTTTTCAGTGTATAGACTCCTTTGTGTCACTTGGCAATGGGCAGTACCTCCTACCGTGAATACTGATGATTTTCGATGCGGAGTTTTCTTTCACATATCTTAGGATTACTAGCTTACCTTTAAGGGAGCCTTAGAAGAGGCCTGTTTTTTGTTCTGAAATAGTTGAATCTTTCTTATTTTCAAAGATTCCATTGGAAAAAAAATGAAAAGCAGAAGAAATTTAGCTTAAAGGCTTCCAGGGTTTTCATCTAAAAATTTTAATTCACTTCTACAACCCTTTAGAAAGCGAAATTCTTACTGTGACAGCTGGAGATTTTGCACATGCTGATTTGGCCGTATGCTCAGACTTCGTCTAAACATACTGACTTTAGTATCTGGAATACAAAATTTACAAATGCGAGTACTATAGTTCATAGTAGTTCATTATACTTCCACGTGATTTCTGTGCGGTTGGTCTCTACGTGACATACTTAGTGGAAACCTCATAGAAAGCGGCTCTGAAGAAGGCGAAATCCGCCGAAACGTCAGCTTAATCGTGAACAAAGAATAGTAACACCTCGCGTTTGCTCAGCAAAAATACGAAGAAAATCACTTGATCAATGCCGAGGTTAATAGAAAGTCGGTCGTGGCAGTTACAAATGCGAGTTTTCTTATAAAATGGCAACGACGAATACTCTAAAATTTCCCAGTTGTTTAAAAACCAGACCATTTGTAGTAGGCTAGCTACCATGTCTCTTATCCTTCAAGCCACTAACCAATTTCGGCCTGGCGAAACAAAAACAAACCAGTCAATACTTGAGTTTTTTCGTTAACGCCCCGATCGAATTCGAGCAATTTTCATCCCGCTGCAGAATTCTTGGTTTTTGATTACAAAAAATTCTTTTTTAACAAATACATAAGTTGAGAAGTTATGAAAATAGTGTTATTATAGAAGAGACTCTGGTCTGTCCTTCTAAATTGTGTTTATCCCGCTATTCACTACGTGTTACTAAATCTTGTATTCTTGTTCCAACTCCATCTTGCAAATGCATTGCTGTCTGCATTTTGAAGTGCTTTGCAAAATTTCTCGAGCCTACTTCAGTATCCGCGCATTTTTGCGGTAACCATAGCAATTAAAATACTTTTCACAATGATGCTGGGATATTTGTTTGCAAAATCACCAGGTCGTTGGTATCTGCGGTCGGAGCAAACACACTAGTACACTTTTCACGGCTAACGCTTGCACCACCACACACACCATGTGTGTTCTTCGTTTCGCGTTCCTCTCAGCCGTCTTTTTATAGGTTCTATCAGCAAACACCCGTCAACGGGACTGATCTATGTAGCAAAAACCGGTATTCAAACCAGTTAAACTGAGGCTGTAAGATGATTGCTGGTTGCACTGGTGGATAAAAAATTTGCCGAGAGAAAGGCAAAACAAAAGACTCGCATGGTGTGGTAGCATTTCTCAAATCAACGATCCCAGTGTTTTGTCAGCTCCTTTCGTTGCTTTGCAAGCGATGTCCACGGATGTGTTCGAATTCGTATCTGGGTTGAGCTGCAGCTTTTACATCATCCTCATCTCTCAAATTCACCATTTTGAACGCTGGTTAAATTGGTATTTCTCGAAATTTCGAGATAACCTGGTGTAACGATCACCATCCATTTTTAATCGTAGAAAAGCTCCCAGCTTTGAAATTAGGATTCTTTGTGGATGACAAGGATTCTTGCGATTATTCGTCTCATTGAAAGAGGAAGATGTTACGAGATGGATATCGATTTATCCCATTTTGTAAGAAGGACGGATTCGTATTATTCAACCAAAGGTTTCACTTTGGCAATCGAGGTTTTAGAATGGCGCTTACCACGGCTTTATGCTATATGGCAACTAACTTGAATTGCAAAGTATTCGACCAGTGAAATAGGTTTAGCATGCCTCATTAGAAGCAGTAAAATGCTGACATATCCATCACTCTCTTTGTTTATCTACTTTCACCGTCTACTTAAACTTGCTCATAAGGTCAAACTTAACATTACATTTAGTAAAAGCAGGTCGTCGAAGTGGAATATTCGACCAGCTTTTTCTTCTATACTCAGACCATCCTAATGTGACATCATCAACTACTGCCACATTCTGCGGTTGGAAATTTGTCGCATGGTTTCCCACCCTTATTAGAAAGGACGTTAATAACGACTATTCAAGGAGTTTTCCACCTCAGAGATTTTTGCATAGATTTCGCTAGTTTATTATAGAGTATTCTAAAGAACCGATCAGTCCTTAAGTGACCTTTAATGGAAAACTGTACGAATTCAATTTGAAACCTGACAAAGAAGCAGTTTTAAGTGATTTAGTCAGATATCTTTATAATTATATGATTCACTTCAAGCGAGCATTCGCTAAATAAGTGTTAACGAAACTGTGAAAGATTTTATAAAACGAAAAGCCATCCTTAAGAACAAAAAATTTTTCTAAAGAAGTCATGTGAAGGATACTAGCAAAGGCTCTCTTATGAGTGGAATCAATTGTTGGGTCCCCATTTAGTGCCATATCGAAGACATTATTTTCCCTCTTTTCTTCCTTACTCTTTCCTTCCGAGTAACCAATCGACCCTGTCTTCACAAAAACTAAGAGCCACCACAAGGCCTAACAATAAAACTCCACTGATGTAAACCGAAAGGAAATCATTATCACGGACAGGTTAAAACGAAGAGTATGGTGATGTCTTTGTTATTTTGAGCACATAATGGCAGATACTCAAATTTGCATATTGGCTACCGTTTGAGACGTCGCCTACTTTCATGTTGGTTACAGATTTATTGGTTCTTAGAAAATAGACAGTGATTTTTCGATAACTGAAAAAACTCAAAAAATTAATAACATGACAAGTAATAGAAGGCGCTTTGCTTTAGGTTACTCGAGATAAATACGTCACCACTTGCCACACTTAACTTTTGTTCAAACGTAGTAGCTTGAAAGGGTGACCGCCAACTACAATGAAATTGAAGCCAATGAGCTCTCATGTACTCACATCAACTAACTCAATGAGAAAATGTTTTTTACGGGTTAGTGATTGTATGAAGGACAAAAGGATAAAACAGAGGATAAAGCTGTCGGCGGTGATCAATCCTTGAGGGATGCATACCATGATGTATTCTACTTCATTAAGCGCCGTTGGAGGTGAGTGAATGCTCTCACAGGTAAGGTGAGCATATCTGCTCTTAATTTAGCCCGTTTCTTTTGTTGTTTTAGATAAACAAGATGCATATGCTAACTAAGAAAAATAAAGTTATTCCACAAAAAAAGGAACTGGGGTAAAATATTCTACCGCCGTGACTGAAGAGTTTGAACCACTGCAACCGATTAAATATATCAGTATGAAAGCTGATGTCATGAACGACACAACAGTTAAAACCATAACCATAGAACTCTGAAAAAAAAGCTAAAGTTTAGATTAGAGTTTACCAAAATATATACACATATTTGTTGAAAAGTAAGGTTTTGCAATCACTCAACGGAGATAAAACACAGACACTGCACCTAAGCAATTTAACACCAACCGACCCACTCACTCGATTTCCAAGCAGCAGAACCAGCCGCTGTGAATGATGAACCTATAAGTGAGTGCACTACTAGGTAGTAGTGAAAACATTATTTTATATCAGAGTCATATAAGTTAACATAAGATACTCTGTGTGAGTGGTCAGAGTTGGTGTAACTAGTTAGGGATGTGAAACTGCGCTTCACCCACCATTAGAACTGTCGATAACCATTTTTCACAAACAACACGTCGTCAACTAGTTGTTGTTACGCCTTTTCTTGGTTCCAGTGAAACCAACGAGTACGTCTGGAGGGCCAAGTTTGCCGACCATTTCAGGGCTTTTGGTAGACTTTTTTCATTTTGTACGAGTCGCTCTTAATATCTGCTGCGCAAATCCCAGCACTTCTCACATTCAGTTTGTTTCCTCGTATCCATCAACTACGAAGGTCTTGCAACTTTTTACGCGCGGCTTGTGCTGCTGCTTGAGGATTTTCCTTTCATCTTGACTGTCGAATGCTGGTAGAGTCGATTTTCCTTAGGAGTTCTGAGATGGCCGAGTTAGACCGTCCCCACTCGAATTCTAGAGAGTGATATTTTTTAGACAAGTCCACTACTGATTTTTCTTACCTGGAGGGATTAGGGCTGGTGAGTTCAGAGTGGGTTCGAACCACCACCATGCACATGGTGGTCGGCATCACTGGCACTGTGCTCGCCGCCTCCTAGCCCTTTGGTAGACTTAGTTAAGAGGAAATCACCAAGAACCACAAACTTTTGCTCTCTATCACCATTTTTGTAACAACATCCCTTGGTCACACAACCGAATAGTCAGCAATAATGGAATCAGTTATCTCAGTGCCGATGACCCGAGCCGATATACACAGTCGCTTTTCGCCAGTTATTATAACATCGACCGCTGCAGGACAAATCCCCGAAATGAAAAGCAGTCATTATCAGTCGGAAACCAGTCAACAACTATCCTATATAAAACAACGCTGCTGATTGAGGCTACTCCTTTGAGCGGTTCTCCACTGAAGTAGATTCGATTCGAAACGACGACGAAGACACTACTTCAAGAAAGCGAACGACTGTGGATATCGACTCGCGTCATCGGCTATGAGCAAGACGAAGATGTCGAAACGTTAGCCGAACAAAAGTATTACAACATTTTGTAAGCTGAGCAATCAAAAGAAATTCATTGGATATTCACGCTAAGGTTAAGGTTAAAGGGAAGTCGATTTAATGCAGTATTATTACATGTTGATTAGTTATGCTGAAGTTAGAGGAAACACGGTTTTTAAATACTGTTGCGCCCCATGCTAGCTGAAAATAATACCGGCTTTTATAAGATGGAATTAACCAGGAAAACAAGTTATTATCACTAGACCGACAGCATCAGCAACAAAAGTCCTTCATAGAACATCATCGCTGGGTGGGGTTGCCAAATTCGAGTTGTGCTTCCACGGAAGGTCCAACTCGATACAATGAGGAAGATACCACATTAGGAGTACAAAGAACTGTTGAGATCCATTTGGATCTTAAGCTCTGAGTAAGAGGACGACGTCGAAACGCTAGCCGAGTAAAGTTTATTTATCAATCTCGAGTTTGCTTATTAGTGAAATAAAACTACTGAATTATAGCAATAATACGAGAGAAAGCTTCGCCTCACTTTCGTCGACATAGAAACGGCTTTTTAGTGATTTGAGAAAAAAGCAGTCTTCAAAGATCGGAGCAACCAGAGATTCTCTATTCACTATTCAAAGGTTCTGAGAGAGATTTATAGGAAGATCACCATCAGAACTTCTCGATCAGTATAAGATATTAACACCCACGGGAAATAAAGAGATCCCCAAGACCACATCATCTTGTCAAAATTATTTCCTGCCTCGCACCAAAACGACACGCGAGCATTGAAATGAATTACCCCATGCTCGCCTTACTGGTTATACCGTTCTTATAGAATAAAAGATTGACCAGGTGAAACAAATAATGATAGATTTTGATGCCAGTTGTGGAAAGACCGTTCTGCAACTAAATTCCACGGAAACGGTGTTCATGAAAACTCGATTTCATCCTGATGCACCATTTACAGAGAACGGAATAAATATTTCGAGCTGTTCCAGCTATCTCACCTTATGCTGTAAAGTGAGTGTGATGAATGAATGACTTGACCTCAGAGCTGAATAGGTGGCAGCTAGAGGCTTGGGCAGGCTTCGAGAGCATCAGGGAAGTATTGAAGAAAAATAAGAACACACGAATCCATCCAGAACCTTTTCCTTTCGACTCTGCGATTCTTCGTTTCTTAACGCACGCATCGGAAATTGGAGCGCTATGTTGGCACCACAAAAGATTAGTGCTATAAAACATGCAGTTAAGAGGGCGAGCTGGGAGCATTTCCTATCACCTGTTGTGTGTGTGTGTGAGTGTGTATGTATGTAGGTATGTATGTATGTATGTGTGTATGTATGTATGTATGCATGTTTGTGTGTTTGTGTTTGTGTGTGTGTGAGAGAGAGAGAGATAGTCCAAAGTTCCGACTCATGTTAATGGCCAAAAATATGAGACGGTGTTGGTTGTATTGCCCAAAATGTCGAGAATTAGGTTCACAGTGCAACCGATCCATGTGAGCCTCTAGGTGACTGCATTCGTCAAGATGTCAAACCTACAGCAATGTCAAACGCATAGCAAAAATACCACCGATCCGACGATCAGAGTTCTTCACTAAAACTCTAGAATGAAGTTCTGAAGAAGGCGAAGAAGCCGAAACAATGACAAAGTTCTGGAGCAGCCACGTTTTAAATTATCAACTTAACAACAATATGCATTATCTCAACAATATCACTCAGACCCTCAAGTCGCATTAGACTCTTAATGTAAATGCTGCTACATCCATGAAAAGCTGCTACAAGGCAACCAAAAGAAGATTCACTAGGATGTGAACGAGATAGATTTGGCTTAAGCAACTGTTGCTAAATTCGACTTGTCCTGTAGCTTGTGTGTAGTCGCTGGTAGCTGAGATAGGAGTAAGTATTTTCGTTAAACGTTTAGACCGCTCGGTGCCTGGTGGGACTTGATGCATGTTCACATTTTAGTTAAAAACCACGTTTTACGAAATCCTCAACTAGTTTTTTGTTGAAAGCAATGACTTCAAGTGCTAAATGTAATATTGTAGAAGATGATTCACTGTTTCTCTTGATGAGCAAACACGAGGATGGTATCGTTGCATTTATTAACACGACAGCTAGGGATTCGGTGCGTTCGCCCTCGCCATGAGCCTAGAGGGTCAAATTGACGTGCAACCTACTCAGCCAAGCACTTTCATTACTTTAGCGTACAAAACCTGGCACATGAATTTCCATTCGTATAATGAACAAAATTTTTTAAACACCTATAAATTAATCACACTCGTAAAAATAAATTCCAAAAATCTAAAAATATACCTTAACGAAGAGTGTCTTGTGATCACCACTGCCCTTGTGACTACAAAAGAGACGGGCCTCGTGGAGTAGTGCTAGAATATGAGTTCTGCTTATATTTCAATGTCCTGATGTCTGTTACTTTAAAATACGTTTGCGTGTTCATATCTCTCTACCCTTGGTAGATATCATTGTTGTAAATGGTGTAAACTTTAGAATCCCTACCTTAAATCAATGAGATATTCGTTTGCCGATATTTTTCACTGCGTTTTCACTTTTTTCATGGTTTCGTATAAAGTGAAATATAATCACAATGATTCTGAGATATTTGCGAAACGGTGGACCGCAGGTGTCTGCTGTGAGCGTCAAACTCGTTGCTACCCTTTCTAGGATCTGACGTGTTCACCATAACAACATGTGGGTCTTTCGTTTCACCTCTTTAGCCTCCGGGACGGGTGGTAGCGTGTTCGATCCCCACCGCAGACACCTGTATTCCCAGGAGTTTGCAAACGCCTCAACACCATTGTGGTTATATTTATTTATATGTTCTTACGAACTGCAGCTAGCGCGCTCTTAGGTTTTCAATCGTGCAGCTGCCAGTCTTTAAGGATCGGATGAACCTTTTCCTACACCAGTCTGGTGCCGATTTTCCGGCACTGGAAAGAAACTGGTCTTGCTTAGAAGAGGTCTACATAGAACCAGAGGCCAAATGTGTATTGTGTGTAAGCTGCTGCCACTGCGTAGTCACCATTTTCCCCCAATAATAGCGACTCCAAAAAACCTACACGGTCGAAAAAGTCCATCCTCCATTTTGGAATATTTTTTCAAAGTATTTCTGATTTCGTCAACGATAGCGTCAGGATTAAAAGATAAAGGATAAAGCTCTCGGTGGTGATCAATCTCTGAGGGATGCGCCATGAATTCGACTTCGCTAGGTATCGATGAGGTGATTGAATGCATATCTGGCCTTTGCAATGGCTCGTGGTGACCGCCTGATGTATCGACCTAGTGCTGTTATCTTCCCAGACAAGTCTGGTTCTAATATATCGAACCCGTGGGGAAAGAAGGCTTGGTGGGCCACGGACATGGAAAACGTTCCCACGTGTGTTTTGCAAGGCATCAAAGTTAGAAATGATAATAGACCGGGTTGGCTTAATAGAAGAGAAACCGAGTCTTCTACTTGGCTTCGTTTACTTTTTTCGACATTGTGAATAATTGCGGAAGTGGAGTACGTCGAAAGACCGTTGCCATAGGCAACCGGCGTCGGCCTACTTCAGATATTAACATCCATACTCATCTTCTATAAAATCGCATAGAAGCCCTCCATTACTACCCTTGTTCCCTTGGCTTACAGTGAAACTTCCAATTCCCAACGTAGTAGTTTTCTTTACGTCTGACACTTTTAGTTCAGTTAGAAGTTGAAATGTTCTCCTTGATGATTGTTTTCAGCCTAACGAGTTTTTTTTGCAATGAACGATTGTCAGAAGCTGGAAGAACTTTTTATAACAACTTAATAGTCAAAAAAAGCTTAACAGCCTAAATTTTAGTTAAATTGCAAGGTAAGGACAATTAAGAGAAGGCAGCAATTTTACAAATCATGTTTATAAACTACTGTCCTCTCTAAGCCATTGTCATTTTTGTTGTTAATATCAATAAGAATAATTGGGACTAATTTTTTAAAAATTTAATATGTTCAATAAAACACAAATGATAGAGGAAGGTGAGGGATTAAATTAGGCCGTGCTCGAACGTTTTTGTGAACGAATATTGCCGACAGAATGAGCTCTTCATACGAAAACACTAAAAGTTGCCAAAGAGTTTCCACTTTTCCAAGTGTCAAAAAACTCGATATATAAAACAATTTTACATAGGAAATCTCTAGGCGCTGAGCCCGAAAAGAATGGAAAACAACTGAGTGAATACGAGTTGAGCTCTTTTTTCGCGCTAATTTTACATTTAAATTCTGCTCTCGCTTATGAACGGTTTTCATACTCATCGAGGAACTAATAAAACGTTAATCCAATAAACAGTACTATCAAATTGTTTACATCTGCACAAAAGCTTCTTAGTGGCCAATGGTGTTGATGAGGTGGACGATTTCTGGTAGTCAACATTAAATTCATGTGAGAAAAAAGGGTAAAGTTCTCGGCGTTGATCAATTCCTGAGGGATGCGCCATGCAGTCACCTTCATTAAACATAGTTTGGGGATGATTAAATGCATATCTGACTCTTACAATGACTCGCGATGGCCTACCAGTACTGCGATCCTTTTAGACAAGTCTTATACCAATTTGCCGACCCCAGAGGGATGAAAGGCTTGGTGGGCCATGGGCGCAGGGATCGATTCCACGTGTGCGTTGCAGGGCCCCTCCGACCACTGCGCCACAAGCGCCCTCATGTGAGTAACTAAACAGTAATTGCTCTTATCTGCTCTTCGACGTTAATCGTTTATTTTTTAGTTGTTATTTAATTGTTTTTTTTACGTCTGCTACTTTGTATCTTTGCCCAGTCGATAAAACTAATGTTTCATTTCTCTCATTTTGGCGAAAGAACTCCAGTCAAGGAAAAGATGACAACAAATTCTCAAGCACCTAGTATATTACTCTCGTCAACCAGCGTTTCTCACTATCACTAAACTTTTTCGCTGCTTCATTCACAATGCTCACAACCCGAATAAATACACCTAGTACTCAATCGAGCGCACTCTGTGAATAAAGCGAAAGTCGTTGACAATTTTGAGAGGATTCAGTTGTGTCGTGAATTGAAAGTATCCAAAGAAATTACGAAGCGATCAAAGCTCCGTGCAGCACTTTTCCTATTCATACGCCACCACTCATTATTTTCCGCTCACTGTCGTGTTTTCGCGAAGTTTTGTGCCATTTCCTAAATGTTCCGCGATTTTAGTGGCCTGATGTCGGGCTCGACGCTACTGCGAGCGCTTGATAATCATGACCGAGCCGAAACCGAACGTCTTCTTGAGTTACAGCCGGTGAGTGGTGAAAATTTATATTTTCTATTTGAAATTCTAATGATTACAGGTAGACACTTCGATTTTGCTAAAAGTGGTAGTGATTTCTTCTGAACTTAGTCGTCAGGCTTTCTTCTTGTGTTTCCCAATTGTCTCTTCTCTCACTTGCATGCAAGTAAATTATTTAAGTGAGGAGAATGATGATGAACAGGAAAAAATGAATTACATGAAATAAGCGCTTTTCACCTTGCTACAATAGCCTGTTCTTCGTCTAATATGCAGAAAACATTAAAATTGGTGAATGTTCTCTAATGATTAGGTAAAAGCTTGAACGGAGAAGACATTGAAAAAACGCGATGGTGAGAGGCCCTTATTCATAGTTTCCCAGAGGTTTGCGATTAATGACTAACGGCCACTACCTATCTAAACGAGTGAAATAATTGCAAATGGGATGAACGCAAACCATGATAATGTTTGAAATTTACTTTTTGTTCACTCTCTTTTCATGACGAGGGTTTATTCTTTTCTCCGTTCATGGCAGGGAATTCTTTTTGGTCAGCTCACTCTCGTTGCCGGTAGACAAGGATGCTATGTTTGATTCTGTTCAAATGAGTCGACGGCACAGTTGTAGAAGAACATCGTTGCCACTGGAGACTGGAACGACTCTGCTGCAAGGAAGTCACGTTTGGAGGAAATTTGAGAGGATTTGGCTTTCATGGGTTGTGGAGGCTGTGTCGCGCCGTTAAATTCCAAAAATTAAACTTTAATTTTTCCAAATATTATATGAAGGTGAAATACAGTCAGAGGGTTGCTAAAATATGAAAAAAACTAGCGAACTCAGGTGGACTCCGAAATCGCGATTACCCTTTGAGGAAGCACACGTGTCATTCACCACACCAACCGAGGCCTGTTATGTATTATAAACAGACTTTACTTTAATCTCGATACAATTTCTTAAAACCTCCATTAATGATTAAGCTAACACAAAGCTGTTATTAAATGCTTTAATCGGCTAACGTTTTGACACCTTAGCCTTCGTCAGAACTGAATTGACTGAATTGGTCCAAGTCGATGGCACACAGCTGGTCGTTGCTGTGATATGGGTTCCCGAAGCGATAATGAAAACTTATATTACGACAACAAGCCGTTTTTTCTGCGTGCTTTTCTACTTCTAAAGAGGACCTTTCATAGAGGACATGGAAGAGCAATCATGTAGTCGGATCTACAGAAAAATGAGCCATAAGAACGAAATTTTTGGCATTCATTCTTTCTATTTGTTCTAGTTGTTGTTTCAGCCTACTTTACCTTTGACAAACGAAAAATTTTCTTGTTCGTTTAACTAGCAAAATTGAACTCCTTCATAGGATGTGTTTTCGTTCTCACTATGTCGCACCTTATGCAAACCACTTCCGTTATTTTCCGCCTCAACATGTATCGTTGTCGGCCTGCGAAATTGGCAAGCTATTTTGTTTATGTCGAGATCTTTGGCGTGTAAGATATTTGGTGAAGGGTAGGAAGTGGACTGAAATGTTAAATAATAAGCTGAGTACTTTATTTATTATTTGTGACAGCGTATTAAAAGTAGAGAAAGACTACCAGCGTCTAAACGAGCAATAACGATTGATAAGCTGTGCTTCTCCATTCAGTTTGGATCTTCAGTTGACTTGCAGGGGTAACATTGAAGAGTTGATTTTCCTATGAAAATTCTTATAAGAACAAAGAATGGACTTCCTTATGTCAGCCATCTATCTACATAAATACTAGAACAAGCAATGCTGACTAATGGTCGAGAATCGTTGTATAATTTTCATTTAATTGGTAATTGATTAGTTGGACAAGATTTTCTTTCCAAGTCAGAGCTTTCCCAGGACATCAAGGATTGCCATTCAGTGAATACATTGTTGCCAGGATGGAAATAACTTCTGGCTTCGATGTGCTATCAGCTGTTCTCCTAATGGGAATATCAAACTCCTTCTCACTTTGGAGGTAAATTCTGTAAAGCGAACTTTCTCAATTGTACATAGCATTTCGAGACAAGGAAGATGTTCGACGCAACATTATATTTTTGATGCTAGCCATTTAAGAAGTTTGCTCTGTTCTTCAAGTATTCAAATACATGGTTAGTTAAATGGTCTGTCCCCATCGGTTCTCGGGACCGCAGCATAATTCCCATTCTGATAGTTGCTGTTTTAGCCTTTGCGATTTCGTAGAGCTCTATGGGGCAGTCTAGCCAAAGCCTTCGTCAGGTTGTCACCATCCCAGGCAGTCGCCACCCTTGTGGACCAGATGGAGATTTGCCATCATGCTACTAGTTTGATACAACGATTGGTTGACTCCCAGCTGGCCTTCCTGATGTAAGCGTCGGACTCAACCTGGAGGTCATGGTGGAATGATGAACCTCGCTTTATATCCCAACCCAACACCGAGGAACACTTCCAGACCCGATGAAGTGGTAAACCGCTGGCACAGAGTATTCAGTATTCTATCCGAAAGTGAATTTTCCAATTTTCTGGGCACCATTTTCTCAGGTTGAAAATTCTAAATGGGCCTTTCATCGTAGTTCTAGACTCGAATGCCATGTCTTCATCACACGGCTGCGTAGTCTCGTAATGACTGCCTTGACAGCCCAGGAAAAACGCATTCATATTAGTACATTGAAGACAGCAGTTCCCTGGTAATTTGCTCACTGAATAAAAAAAAGAAAATAATGCACTGTTGGAAGAAGTAGGGTGGTGGAAAATTTTAAAACATTCATTACGACAAGAGTCATATTTGCCTCATACATAGGTGAAAACGATTTGTCATTTCAAGCCTAGTCATTCTATATAAAGGCTACAATGTCCGGTGGATTTTAGGAGGAGATAGCAATTAGAGATCCGGACGAACGTGTTGCTTTACATTATGCGGCCGAAACCATGGATTTGGAAATGTTCCAGAAAATTCTCGAACGTGATGTGACATTACTTGATTGTGAGGATCGTAACGGGTGCGTAATTCGTATGTAAATTGATGTAAATTGTTTATACCTAGCAAACCTGTACCATTTCGCGTGAGGGTTTAGTCAATAAATAGATCAGACAGATCCTATATTCTAATTTTTTCATCACAAACAATTAAGGCTTACTCCGATGCTGATGGCGGTGATGGGTGGTCGAACGGATTTGGTGAAGTTGCTGCTCTCCAGGGGTGCCAACATCGAGCACCGCGATCGCGATGGTCATTCTGCAGTGCATTGGGCGGTGGTGTGTGGCCAGGTAACAGAATAAAAAATCTCCCTGAGTTAATTACATCAGATGATTGCTTTCGTAGAATCTCCTTAATTGCAGCTAGATATGTTGACTTTTCTTCTTGCCGAAGGTGCCGATGTAGAGGCACACGATTTACTGGTGAGGTCCTTCGAATGTTTTATTTTCACAAATATCATCGTTCTAATAAAATATGTGGTTATATTTAGAAAGGTGACACCTTTGAAATGCTGTAGAATAATGATGTTTCAACCACAATGGTGCTGAAATATTTGCAAAACTCCTATCTAAAAAACTAGTTCTATCGATCAGTGCCATCAGCAGTCACCGGTCAAGGGGATTGAAGATAACTGAGAGATAGCCGAAACGAAGGACACGCATGGTGTGGTGATGAGCGCATTAGCCCAGAAAAGGGTAACAGCGCGTTCATTCCCCACTGCAGACACCTGCTATCCAGAGTTTTGCAAATATCTCAGCACCATTGTGGTTGTATTTCGCATAATACCCTGCCATAAAAATGGTAATAGACAACAAATAAAAAGTTAGCCTAATGAATTTTCACTATTTTAAAATACATTAATCAGTAACCAAATCACCTAGACGAGTACTAGATTTGTGGTTTTCTTCAATTGACTGCGGTAAACCCTACTCCAAACTTAATTTTTCGTTCCAACCTACTCAGTTAATAATAAAGTCTAGTAGCTTTGCAAAAACCGATGGTATTTTTTGTGAAGAACTATGACAGATTCTATGAATAATAGAAGAGTACTTTACAGATTTCAGCTATTCCTCAATTTTACCAAAAATCTCTAAGCTCCTCTATTCTTAACGAGCCAAGGTTTTTGCGTAAAATCCATTTCTCTTCAGCTGATTTCAACCAGTGTTTCAGAGCTTCATACTAGGTGAAAAGGATATCTTGACCTGCGACTAATCCCAATAACTAAATAAAATTCTCGACCTAGGTTTTTATTATATATCAAACTTCTCTATATAATGCAGCATTGTCAATTTTATAGAGTTCTACTGTCGGGAAGACAAAAAAAGTTTAGTCGAAGAATCTACTGCCCGGTCCCACCCTATCTAAGTTGGATACTTACTTCGATGGCCCGCTTTCACTGTTTGTGCGAACCCAAGCATAATTTCCATTCCAGTCTTCAGAGATTTGCTGGTTTAGCCATTGCGGTTCCCTGGAGTCTCGTGGTTAGCCTACCCAAAGCATGTCCCAGGTCGTCACCACCATACACAGTCACCGCTCTCGTGAATCAGAGGGAGATTTTTCACCATGTGACTAGTTTTATGCCAGGACGGTGGTGGATACTGGTATTGATTCACTCTTAGCTTTCGCGATGGCCGGGCTCTTCCTCTACTTGAGAGGCCCTGCTGGGAAATGAATATCACCGCTGTACATCGCAGCTCTTCACTCAGGAACACCTCCCAGCCACGTTGAGGCGGTAAATTGTTGGGAAGTTTCCTATCAGTATAAAAGAAAATCTTGAAAACTGTTGATATGGGCCAGACAACTACAGCATTACAGTCTTTTATCTCAACATGAAGAATACAAGAAAAAAAGAAGCAAACTCACTGCTTCAATTAATTCCACAAAACTCTTTCGTGATATATTTCTCTTCCTCTCTATCGTGAGCGTCTAGTGCAGTGGTCAGAGGCACCCTGCAATACACATATGATCGGTACCCGCGCCTGTGACCCACCAAGCCTTCCGTCACGCTTCAGGGTCCGTAAATCGCTCGGGAGGGTAGCAGCACTGGTTCAATGGTAGACGACCGCGAGTTATTGTAAAGGCCAAATGTGTATTCATTCATTTCCAAACGATGTTCAATGAAGTCCTATGCATAGTGCATCCCTAAGAGATTGATCAACGCTAAGAGCTTTATCCTTTTTTATCTTTCATGAGCGGCTTACAATGGATTTAGCATTTTCTAAAATGGCTACGAGAGTGGAGAAAATCAAGGCTTTTTTTTCCTGAGTAGATGATCCTGACATTCGTTGTGTTAATACAAACAAAACGTATTTATTAATACAGACAATGAGCGATTGACTACAATTTTGCTATTAGTGGCATTTTTCGAACGTTTGTTTGCAACTGCAGAGAGCCACTCCACTCCACTACGCGACTGCTGCAGAGGAAACATCAACTGAATTAGCATTAGCTATACTTCACACTCTTCTCAAAGAAGGAGCGAAGCCAAACTGCAGGGATTTGGATGAACGAACACCCATTCTTTGGGCTGCTAGTAATGGTAGGTTATTTATGGAAAGGAAATACATGTTAGATTCTTTTAAGAGACGTCAGAAAACTGAACTACCACTATTTTAAGCTAAAATAAATAAAAAATAAATCAAGCACTTCACGTTGATAACTGTTGACATTTCTACTTGTTAAAATATTATTAAGTTCAATGGTGCTGAGATATTTGCAAAACTCCAGACCGCAGGTGTCTGCGGTGGGGAACGAATGCGCTATTGTCCTATCCGGGGAGTGACGCGTTCACCACCGCACCATGCGGGTCCTTCGTTTCGGCTGTCTCTCAGCTAGTTCTATCGGTCTGTGCCATCACCCGTCAACAGTTAAGATTATTATTAAGCTGTATTAAATATTACGAAGGAATTCTTGTCATGAACACTTCTGAAACCGTGTATTAAAGTGGAAGTTACATATTAAAGATGAAGTCAAGTGGAATTTCTGTTTAACAGTTGGGACCAAATATAAAAAATATTCAATATATTTTCAACATTAGAAAAACAACATAAAAGTGGAAAATGTCATAACTGATCAGCAAACCGATAGAGGATTTTCTAAGAGTTAATTAGTCGAAAGCAATAAAAGGTTTAAAAGTAGCTTTAGGCTCATGATGCGCTGTTTATTAGAACTTTCTAGGAAACCTAGAGGCGATGCATTCATTAAAACAGGCTGGTGGTGACCTTCAAGCGGTGGATCGAGATCGACTTGGAGTTCTTCATTGTGCTGCTAGCCACGGCTATCACGAGGTGATCCTTAGCAGATAAGTTTAAAAATTCACAAGAATGCCGGAGTTTAGTATTTCAAATAGCTACCCAATAGACAGGAATTGTTTTCATTCTAAAAAAATTGTAGTGACAAGACCTGTCATACCCTTTTGCAACATACCTTGCCATTAAAAAGAAAAAGGCAGTATATAAAAGGGTTAAGATTGCAGTGACAAGAGATCAAGACTTCCCGTTCCCTAACGAATAGGGTCAACCTATGATGAAGATCTTGGAAGCTAGCCCAATTTGTGAGAGCTACGTCAGACCGGTTTTCGAAATGTTGAGAGGACACAAATCTTCTGGCAGCAGCTGAGCCTGGGTGCAGATCCACCCATCTGTGTAGGTGATGATTGTAGGACAACGAAGCTATGAAGAAAATGCTAAGGTCTGAGCTCATAGGAAGACGTTCAAACCAAGCACAAAACTAACTAGCTCTAAATTTTTTCTCTTTTAAGTTCCACACTTTTTTCATACACGATAGTTCCACGGTTAACAATAATTCAGCAAATACGTGCCTTTTCTAGGGCGCAGAACGACTAGTGGAGTAAAGTTCTTGTCTCTTCTTCACTGGATTATCTCTTATTTATGGAAACAGATTTGCGCATGTGTGCATTGATGTACTTGCAAGTTACAAATTCCCTATCATGATTATTCAGACGAAGGTCTGCAATCAATTTGCTTGGCCTTACATAGTAAGTGGTAGAAATTCACGTCTGTCCATGAAAACTTGACAAGATTCCTGTGATGGTAGTATGGAAGTACTGTAATGCTTTACGTTTCCCATATAATTAGCAGTAACCACTGTCCAACCTTGGCCTCTCATAGTGACAATTAAAGCTCTTGCTGTTGCTCGCTCGAGCCACTCGTTAGCTGAAGGCATTTTAAGTGATTAAGATGATTGTCCTGTTTTTTAGTAGAAGCTGCAGCAACCAGCTAATTATTTGCTGCTACCGTAATCCCACTTTTTCCCCACAGGATTATCTTCAATTTATCCGCACGCAATGCGATTCCAATTTTTATGCACTTATGTTTTTAGATAGTTACAAAGTGGGGCGTCCAGAATTAATGTGCTGTGTTTTGTGATGGAAATTTGACGGTTTTCTACAAGCCTTAGAATAGATAGTGATATATTTATCTATATGATGTTATAGACTGGTCTTCTTAAGCTGATGCGAGGTTGATATAGGTCTTCGTCGTTATTGTTGTTGTTGTCGTTGCTGACGTTTCGGCGATTTCGCCTTCCTTAGAGCCTGGATGTATTTTATACAAGAATACTTTAACTATTTGGTGGAAAACAAAGCCAAAGTATTAATGAAGATCAAACTTTTAGATAAACGCCACATTGATCAAAACGCTATTCACCTTGCTGTTACGCGTGGGACTGGCCCACGCGCTGTTCACGTGGGGTCGGGAGCGAGACACAACCAGGGGTCAAAATATTATTTTGAAATAAGGCGCCAGGTCACGTGTAATAGTGAAGCATTCGTCTTTACGATTCATCCTTGGGTTTTTGAAATTTATACAAAACAGCTCAAGAGTCTTACGCCCTGACGCTTTCGATTCCTGCGCTAGGATCCGCGCAGTCACTTCGAAATCATCGCTAATGTGCTTTTGCGCCCTGTGCGTATGGAAATTTATTCATTCACGTTATCATATAACACTTGAATACAATTAATAAAAACGTCAAATTATTTTAGGCAGCCTGAGTTTTTCAACTTCACAGAATCCAAATACTTGAGAGGATGCTTGTGCTTGGAGATGTCAATATTTAACAAGCATTTCAGACGATCGACTTTTTTATGGAAGCGGTTCCACACTCGGCTGTGGATCAGCGGGATCGCGCTGGCCATACCGCTCTTTTCTACGCTGTCACTTACGGGCATTACGAGGCGGCCAGACGATTGCTGGACTACGGTGGAAATCCAAATCATCAGGTAAAACTACCTTCTCAATTTGAAGTTGTGTACAGGATCACCTATATCACCTGTCGTCCCGTTGTTGGCCGAGTAACCCGAACAGGCGCAAGTAAATCTTCCACTTTTCCCTATCGCGTGCAAAAGTAGCCCAGTGGGTTCTGCTTGCTCAAGGGACTCGTTGAGCACCACACCCTTCTTCTAGGGTTTTCCTAAAATACTCCGACCATCGCATCGATAGTCTTCCCGTAGCAGGTTTGACATCCCGAGGAGTTCAGTCACTAACAGCTCCTGTCCATCAGTTGTTGTTCACACGCACTGCGTGCCCGGCCCAGCTTAACTCGTTTTGGCGCAAAAGCGGCGTCTTTGATTTTTGACCTTCGGCGCAGGTTGGGCTTCGAATTCCCTTCCTACCATATCTGACACGGATACTCCTAGCATCGCCCCTTCGACTGCGCATTCAATAACGCTGAATGACCTCTTATCCTGCTTACGCAGCGACCAAGTTCCTAACGCATACGTTAAATCACAAAGAATCGTGGAGTGAAAAGGTTAGGCACGGAAATGTTGTTCTTTGTTCTCTTTGCCATATCCTCAATGCTCTTAAAAGATCGTCAAACCGTTCGATTACTCTTGTTCATCTCTTGGGATAAATCATTTATCATGTTTCTTACACGAGTTAGATAGATGTAGCTGGTGCATTCGGAGATGTTCACACCGTTGAGCGTGAATGAAGTAACCAATTCGTTCACCGTGAACATTGCTTTTGTGAGATTTAGACGAAGACCGGTCTTCAGCAAGCTCTATCACAGTCGCGTAGCCTTCATTCCGCCTCTCTATGCTTGGTGTTGTAAAAACGATGTCAACAGTAAAGCAAGGACGGTGTAATTGGTGAACATCGATTTCCATTCTAATGTTGTCCCATTCCTGTGTTCGCATGACGTTATCCATCTAAGGAAGCTTTTGACTCAACTGAGATAGAAGCAGTCATGAAAGCCTGATAGCCAAGGACTACTTACTCAATAAATAAAGATTCTTCGTGAGCTCTACGAAGCTTTCACAACCATAATATCACCATTCTACGACACTATTAAAACCGATGTCAAAAGAGGGGTTAGGCAAGGCGACACCATCTCGCCAAATCATTTACCGCCATCCTTGGGAACTCTTATAGATATACATACAGAATACTAAGACTTTAGTTTCTATAAAAGACGTTTTTTTTTGTTTAAGAGATTCTGTCAAGTTCATACATTTTGAAAAAGTAAACCAAAGTAATACGCAAGTGAATGTAAAATGAATGGTATGGTTATGTAGACCGTGACAAGTTTTAAACTTTAACTTTCTATGCAGGAATACTGTTAAGTTGCAGTTTTAAACCCTTCTGGGCAAAAATAAAGAGGCTAAATTTAACCGCAGTTGTGCTGAAATATTTGCAAAACTTGGATCCCTGGCCAGGTCGAATTACTGTTACCTTTTCCAGGGGTTCACGTGTTTCGGCCGAAGTTTGCAGATATCTCAGCATCACTGCGGCTGTATTTCGCATAATACACAAAAACAATGGGCATTAGATAAAAGCCACGTATTGTGATTTCGACTATACCTATTCATATGACCAAACTTTATAAACTGTGCAGATAGGGGCACTTCTTTTCGCAAGTTCACTGTCTCACATCCTTTATCTTCGGATTTCACGTGAGAGGTGGGTTGCCATTTGAGGATTTTTTCTTGTCAATGAATATCGTTGAATTTTCGTTCCATTGATTATACTCGTAACCCTTGGATATCTTTACAACAACGTTCCTAAAAAATCGCAACAGGTGATCGCCTGTCATTGTGGACTGGCCACTACGAAATTAACTTGAAGAATGCTCATTACTGAGGGAGAGGTATTAGTCGGTAGGTAGCGGTTTAAATCAGCTGTTTAAATGTATTTCACGACTTTTTTAATATGCAGGGGTTTTTTTCCTGGCTACTGTTTCCTATTTTAATTTGGTGATGTTATCTCATGTTGCATGTCGTAGGTCTCGCTTGCAATTAAGAACTTGCAACGTCATCATAACTAGGCAGTGCTCCCAAGTTAAATATGATGTATAACAAAGTTTAATGTCCAGTAATAACGCACTGTTTAAGATCTCCATAACAAAGAACATCTAAGGATGAACTAATGCTGAGAATCTCCGCTGCGTTGACAGAAAACTAGTTGGAGGGTAACAAACTTTTCTCTGATTCATAACGGTCGGTAACTCTCGCAGAGATAAACTGGGGATAATGCGCCACATAATAGGCACTTAATACCAAGTTATGAAAAAAAAGACACGAAATTCAAGTAACTGTTAACAACCGCCGTCTAAAATGAAAGTGACGAAGCATTTTTAGATTCCCATGATCGACTTCCTATTAACATGGTAATTGATCAAATAATTTACCTTATTCCTTTTGAGCAAACAAGAGGTGCTAACACTTCCTCATGTGTGTTCAGTGAGAATAAAGCGACCTATTTTTTAGATGGCAAGGCTTTTTTCACTCCGTGAAGACTGGCGAAATTTTGGAAAATGGATAACAAACTCTTTTACCCAAGTCTTAACTTACTTCAGAAAAAATTTTGTCCGTATCAGAAAATATATGTTTCAATACACCACACGCAGTCTTCTGCTTCCCATACTTGCTCTGGAATGATCGCTTGGGAGAATGCTACCATGGGGTTACACTTCACTTAAAAATGGCATTCCAGCGATATGTTGTAGAAAAACCTTTTTTGAATAAAAAAGACTTGTACTCACATAGTGATAAGATTACTCTCAGCCATAAAAAGACAAACCTCAATAAAGTATTAGCGACGCAGGTAATGTCATAAAACTATCCGTTATTTCAATCTTAACCTTTTGTTCAATGCCCATGCTTTTTAATGGCATGGTATGTTGCCAAACATAACGTATAATGCTGAGATATGTTTATCACCAATTTACATGCGGGTTAGATGAAGTAGGCAACAACGTTTCCTATTGTGGTGAAAGAGGAGCTACATGTCAAGAATTTTACCGCAAGTGCTACATGTCAAGAATTTTACCACAAGTAGGATCACCCACAGAAGGCAACAAGGGCAAATTCTGAAGCATGTGGTCCAATGTGCTCTTGCAGTTTAAGCTTTCCACGAGCGCTATGTCTTGTTGAATAGAACAAGTGAAAATCTGTTGGATCACCTCGATTCGTGTAGACGGGCGCCTTCGAGTGACTGAGAAATCAAGCGCTACATACTGGTATACTCAAATTAGGCTTATCTCTCTCTGCTACATAAACACTTGGTTGCTAGGATGGGATGAATTATAGGTGCGTTCTTCCGTCAAAACCGATCCGGAATCTTAGCGAGTACTGCTGAGTAATTTACAGTCCTCTTTTCCATTCGGCGCAAATTCTACAACGAAAGGGAGATATGCTTACCTCATAGGAACAAGTACAATGTTTGCCGTAGCGAATTTAATCATCTAAACTAACCATAAGACTTTCCGTTAGTGATAAGGGTGGAGAGTTTGTCGTAATTCCTCATCAGTTAGATGTGGAGATAACGAAAAAGCATCTTGAAGATGCTTCGCTTTATCGCCCATCATCTGAGGAGGAATTCAAAAGTAAATACCGAAAACTAAACCACGAATGGGTCAAAATGGCAAGGGCTGCTGGTTTGAAACCATCAGTTATCTCTCAACTTAAAGTTGCCTTACCAACATGCCCCGTCTTGTACTTATAAAAACTCATAAGTTAGTATCCAGCGATGATCTTGCGTCTACCGATCAATCACTATTTAAGGTTAGACCTATCATTAGCTGTGTAGACGGGCCAACGGACAGGATAACATGGTTTTTAACCCTAATATTTAACCAGTTGTTGAAACACATTCCAGCTCATCTTACGAATACCCAGATGTTTCTGGATCGTCTACGTACTGCGCAGCCCAACAGCGCGTGCGTGATGGAATCCTTCGACGTTACCGCCCTTTATACAAACGTGTCGAATGACTCCGCAATGCAAGCCATATTCGAACTCCTTACACAACACGAAGGAGAAATAAACATGTATGGCTTCAGGATAGAGCACCTGATGGCACTCTTAAAGGAATGCTTGAGCTGCTCAATCTTCAGATGGTCTGGAAAGTACTACGCTCAAATAAGAGGGTTGGCAATGGGACAACGACTGGCTCCAAGCCTTGCCATTGCATTTATGTCTAAGGTGGAAGCACCGGTGACTGATCTCGGGCCGCTACTCTACTGTAGGTATGTAGACGACTGCTTTGTCCTTTGCTCAACACAAGAGGAAATGGACAAATGCTTCGAATTGTTAAACGCACAGTCAGAGTATATCAAGTTCACCAGAGAAAAGCCGAAAGAAAAATGGCTTCCATTTTTGAACGTACAAATTCACCTATCAGAAAATGGCTACATTACAAAGTGGTACCGAAAGCCAAGTAGTAAAAATATCTTGGTTCATTACCTCTCCTCTCACCCCTCTCACACGAAAAGGGCGCTTATAAGAAACATGTTTCGAACAGCAACCAACGTGTGCACGGGAAGAGAGCAGAGAGAGGAGTCCCGGAACTTGGTACGGCAAATAGCCATTTCTAATGGCTTCGAAACCGTAGCTCAGAATAGGTGTAGAAAAAATCGTAGGCCTCCAAACGACAACTCTAGCGATAGAAGGGTCCCGTTTATCCTACCCTTCATCTCAAATGATATAAGTACAGCTATAAAACGCTGCTTAAGAAGGGCGGGCTTAGAGAATTCGGTGAGCGTAGTTGAAATACCACCGAGTAATCTTAAGCGCCAGCTAGTTCGTAACCGCCTATATGACCGTCTATGTGCAACTCAAAATTGCATATTTTGCCCCAGTGGTAGAGACGGTGATTGAATGAGCTCGGATAGAGTTTATCTGATCTCCTGTAACACGTGTGGTGACGAATACATTGGCGAAACGGGTAGACCCCTCTGTGTCCGCATGAAAGAACAGCTAGCCGGCAAAAATAGACCAAATACCCCGCTAGGCACGCATAGGACCCAGAGACATAACGGGGACGACTTCGAAGTGTGTGTCACGATCCTCGCACGCGAATCAAGAACACAGGCGCGAAAAACTCTCGAGGCACTCTGGATTAATTCCAGAAATCCGAAAATGAACCGCAGGAAAGAATGCCTCATTATCACGCGTGATATAGGGCAGTATATAAAACTGCTTTTCTGATGTGAGGGGCACATTATACTTCCACGTGATTTCTGTGCGGTTGGTCTCTACGTGACATACTTAGTGGAAACCTCATAGNAATGATATAAGTACAGCTATAAAACGCTGCTTAAGAAGGGCGGGCTTAGAGAATTCGGTGAGCGTAGTTGAAATACCACCGAGTAATCTTAAGCGCCAGCTAGTTCGTAACCGCCTATATGACCGTCTATGTGCAACTCAAAATTGCATAATTTGCCCCAGTGGTAGAGACGGTGATTGCATGAGCTCGGGTATAGTTTATCTGATCTCCTGTAAGACGTGTGATGACGAATACATTGGCGAAACGGGTAGACCCCTCTGTGTCCGCATGAAAGAACAGCTAGCCGGCAAAAATAGACCAAATACCCCGCTAGGCACGCATAGGACCCAGAGACATAACGGGGACGACTTCGAAGTGTGTGTCACGATCCTCGCACGCGAATCAAGAACACAGGCGCGAAAAACTCTCGAGGCACTCTGGATTAATTCCAGAAATCCGAAAATGAACCGCAGGAAAGAATGCCTCATTATCACGCGTGATATAGGGCAGTATATAAAACTGCTTTTCTGATGTGAGGGGCACATTATACTTCCACGTGATTTCTGTGCGGTTGGTCTCTACGTGACATACTTAGTGGAAACCTCATAGAAAGGCGCTGAGTGTGCAAAGCTGTGTTCAAAGTGATTGAAATCTTGGTTTGGGGTTTCTTTGTTTGGTTATGGAGGCGTCTGGCCGGGTGAGTTGCTATCAACTTGACCTTTCCAGGCTCTGAAGAAGGCGAAATTCGCCGATACGTCAGCTTAATCGTGAACAAAGAACAATAACACCTCGCGTTTGCTCAAAAAAAATACGAACAAAATCACTTGATCAATGCCGAGGTTAATAGAAAGTCGGTCGTGGCAGATTGGGAGATTGTTGCCGATATCGTGTATTACTCTTCTTGAAAAATAACACGGTCCTGCTGGTCTTCCATTGAGTAGAGACCTTCCATTCAGACAGGTACGGTGTGAAGAGCCCACCAGTGTGTTTACGAAGACTGGCGGAAGGTTCTTCAGGTCTTCTGATCTTAACCAGTCTGGACCTTGTGCGTTCGATTTTTCACCGTCGATATCGCATGTCGAATTTCGGATGGGAGAACCGGTGGTACAACATATCCATCCTCCTTTATTTCATATGATGGAAGGTTGACGTGGCTATCGAAGAGATCGGAGTAGTATTCGTGAATGGTTTTCTCTATTGCCTTTCTGGACGCTGTAACTGTTCCGCAACAGCTGTAACTGTTCCGCAACAACTGCAACAGCGGATTAATAAAGTGAATAAATATCAGTTTATAGTGGTTTTGGGACTTCGGTTTCTAAATTTAGCGGCTTTTTCTCCTTTCCACAAGAAATAAAATCTTGCACGAAGGAGACGATAGTCTGATCCCGTGTAGAATTTTGGGGCAACAGCGACATCGGTTAGGCAAAACCTTCTATTTACTATAATGTGGTCTATTTCGTTATCGTGGTGTCCATTCGAACACTCCTACGCCCATCTTTGAGGGTGGCGCTTCTGGAATTACGAGTTACCATGGATGGTCTTTGACGACATAATAAACTCAGAAAGCCGCTCACACTGTTCGTTCCATTTTATTCCGTGGATCCCAGCGTGACGTTCTTTAGACGTTCTTCTTTGTCCAATCTTGGCGTTGAAATCTCTAATGATGACCTTGAAGAATGTGTGGTGTTCTCTGTAGAACTTCTCCAAATCCATATAGAAAGCTCCGACTTCTTCTTCGTGACAGTTTGATGTCGGTGTGTGAACGACGAAGATTGTCAAAGCTGGAATTGATTCGCATCTTTTTAATCGTAAACGTCCGATTCAGGTTGTTAGTTGCTCGAAGGAATCAATGTTCATCGACAAACTCGTGTTGACGATAACGTCGACGCCGCCGACTCCTCTACTGTCGCAAGTTCCAAGGAACAGTTCCTTTCCTGTGGCATGAACGCGTTGAGTGGGTGGCGTCTTCTCGTCTCAGCCAGGCTGATAGCGTCATATCTTTTTCTTCTTGCTTGCATGAGCAAACCTTCTATCGAGCAATCGAATGCTAAGGCACGTGCATTGTAAGAACAGTTCGTCACCTTAGTTCTTAGTGATCCAGACAGCTTCCACTGGCTCTGAGATTTTAGCGGCCTCTCCGTACTCCTACCCAACACTGCCGAAATGGGGACTTGGGAAATGAAGCCCGTTTCTTTCACTGTTTTTAGCCTTTTTGATACCCATGCATAGCTTACTGGGCTATGAACGTGGGGGCTGGGTATACTCACGGGTAGCTTGCCAAGTTCTCCTAGAGTAGGCACTGAGCTTATTTGTTGGAGGCGACTCCTAACCGCTTCTCATATACTTCCCTGTCATTTGATTGTAGAGTTTTGGCCGAATTGACTCGTAGAATACAATCCGCTTAAACTAGAACTAGAGCGCACTCGCACAGGCATGCATGAATGCGCTTCGTAAATACAGAAAGTATGTGCAAAATCTGTGCAGCAGAAACAGGGAGTCCATCCCTTGGATCCCCTGCTTCTTAGGGAAGCAAAGATCGCTTTTGTTCCGCGATTAACTCCCTAACCGCCACCTGGGCACGCATCACGTAGTCTCGCGACTAACCGGCTATCGGGATCCCTTATATGAGGGACTTCCGTGCTTCGCTCCATTACTGGATATAAATTAATAGTTGAATCTAAAAAATGAACAATAAGCGCGATAAAGATATCTCAATTTAAAAAGAAAACAAAAATGTGTAGAGATATAGTATAAATATAAGAGATAACCAGTCGAGGTTTCGAAATGGATTGAAAGGATGCAAATATTCGAAGAATAAGGAGTATCACGGAAGAAAAAATTGGATAAGTTAAAAGCGACATATCTGGCCAAGAAGAGAGTCCAACAACAAAGTGGCACACAAAGACTCATTCACTGAGCTAATTTGAAAGGAATTTTCTAATTTTGAAGGCAAACATGACAAAGTTGCTTTTTCAGTTTCGCTTCTATTGATCGAAATTTTTATTACGAAGGAAACATCTCATCCACAGAAAAGCAATATGCTCCGACTTACTTAAGGACGAACTGACATCAGTCCAGTAATCACCGTCTCATATGATTTTTCCAAGCAGCTCTATTATTTAGGGCAAGAAAAGACACATTTGGCAACATAATTAAATGATCATGAATTAAAACACGATTACCTCGAATTCCTCGTCAATACCAGGGGAAGAATCCAGCTGAGGAGCTTTTGTCCCACCAGCTTGGACTTCAGCTGAAGATTCCACTGACGCTTTGTCTTTACCTCCACTTCGTGGTGGCATTAGTGCCTTGTCTAACTTAAAGAAAGAAGCAACACCAGTAAAAAAACGATGAAAAAACAGTTATTTAAACGTAATACTTAGATGTGGCTAGGTCCTGTTGGAAAACTGTCTTCTCTAATGTTTAAGTTTTTACGTTTTTTTTCACGGCTGGGTATTAGATAAAATGCAACCACGTTCATGATGAGATACTTGCAAAACTTAGATCACAGGTCAGTTTCAAACCAGCGATTATCCTTTCCGGAGGATCACGTGTTATCCACTGCATCGATGAAGCCCCTGCTTTGCCTTTCTCGCAGCCTCTTTAATTATTGTTTTGCAAACACCTTAGCAACGTCTGTGGTTTTCTCCTAAGAATTTGGAGACAGTTTCTATAATTAGATATTTAGAAATTGTTTTGGAACTAAGAATAACCCTAAGTGGTTAATTCCGGAGTGCTCTTAGTCTTACTAATAATTTGGCCAACAGCAATGGAAACTTCATTAAGGCATGATTTCCGTCAAACAGAAAATTCATTTACGTTAAGAGCTCAAAACTTTCGTACATTTTGCGGACAAAAAGAAAACCAACTTTCTTCAAGAAGTCGTGGAATCTACAGAAAGCAAGTAGAATGAGTTGAATAAATGGTAGCGCTATGGCAAACCTTCTGTCTAGTCATAATTATTTTCTGAACTTCTTCACGAATTATTCGATCAATTCTGTCGTCTGTTTTCGGTCTGGTGGAGGTAGTCAGATCGGTGGTCGATGTGGTTTTCGCAAGAACTTCTCCAGGTGCGCCGGCCGACGAGACCCGACGCGCCTAAGGGAAATACTTTCATAACAAAACAGAGCATTATCAACCTCGTGTAAGCTCATCAAAGACATATTAGTGATACCGAGGTTCAAGGAAAGTCGGTTTCGAAACAAAACAGAGCATTCATTTTTATACAAATATATTGTTTATATAAATTATGAGTATGAACCGGTAACGGTAAATTACTAGAACCGATGGCTGATCCACGGAACTCGAAGAAATTGAAACACGCCCAGATTACTGTTGCTTAAGGAATATTTTTTACAAAAACTAGAGATCAGGACGCCTAAGACAAGGTGACGTTTATGCTGCAAACATTCGAATTTACTGAGATATTCTTCAAGGCCTTCGCACATGGCTTATCTTGTACTCGAACAGTTTCATTTTCTATTAAACCTAAACGCGATAACATTCGCCAGTTATTCAGTAATCTAGAACGTTAGTCCTACAATATTTCATAGTTATCTTTGACTTGGATCATCGGCTTTGAAGAAGAAGAAGACGTCAAAACGACAGCCAAAAAAGGTTTGTCAGAAATCTCATGTTGGCTTCCCAATGAAGAAATACGTGTTGATAACAAAATTAACCACACAGCAGTTCACAACCATCTTTGTTTTTCACAACGCCAAAAAGGATGGAATTTTTAGATTTTTCTGAAATTTGCATAGTTTATCTCTCTCAATATTCTATTTTATCACAATGATGTTGACATATTTGTAAATCTCCGGACCGTAGGTGTTTGCGGTGGGGAACGAACGCGCTATTGTCCTATACGGGGAGTAACGCGATCACCACCACACCATGCCGGTCCTTCGTTTCGCCTATCTCTTAGCTAGCTCTATCGGTTAATGCCACTCTATTTTATATTTGCTAACTAACAGTTGTGTTCACACCGGTGCTGGTTACTCGGCGTGCGGATTTGTTCTCCTCAAAACTTCGTCTTCTTCTCGACTTCGATTTCTTCATTAATGCTTCGTTTTCTTCGTCCTCGTTATACAGATGCCGTCCACGAGCGAGTTTAGCTACAAATCCAGTTCCTTTTAGACCTCTTTTCACTCGTTTCGTAAATCTCCTACTTTTTTTTTGATAATTATTCATGAGGCATCGCCTTATTATTTATGCTCATACCTACACAAAAAGAAGAGTTGTTTTCTAAATTGTGGTTGTATTTTCGACTTGTCACAGTCAAAGTTACATTTCACAACAGAGAAAGTTTTTGAACTTTCCATTATACAGATACTTCTTTAGACAATATAGTTACTCTTTTTTTTTTGAACTGAAACCATACCTTGAACCAGTTGCTCTTCAAAAGTTAAACGATTCTTTTGTCGTTCCTCCTCAGGTATCTCGGCAGCGCTTTTTGCCTCATACTTCTTTGACAAGTAGTCCACCACAACCTTGACAAAGAAGCAGAAGTTCTCAATATTTAGCTTGTTTCTAAATTAGTGTTTGGAGCTTTTTTGAGATAAAAATGAAGGTATACTTTTTACTAGTTGAGGTATAGGTTAGCTCAGTGAAACTCCCATAGACCTAAATATTAGGTAGCTTATGGTTTCTCGGTATTAAAGACCCGGTTTCAACAGGTCGATCCAAAAACGATGCCTCTCAAAGCTCCAAGGCGTTCAAACCTAGGCTTAAATTCGCCACCTGGTTGCTAAGGAGAGCATGATTACACAATAAGAACTCATCCAAGTTCCGAGAATTAGGTCTTTGAAGCGCGGATTACCCATTTTCACCTGTTCGTCTCTGCCCTGCCTAACTGATCCACTTCATCTACAACGCTGAGATGGTTGTTTGTAAAGTTTCTTACATAATTTGCTGTAAGGTAAATATAGGTAGGGTGTGGTCCTCTATTCCATTTCGATACTTCAGAGCTTGTATATTTTTCTGGGCTGCGAATAAATCAAATTGCCTTTCGACGCTACACTTGCAAAACAAAAGATACCTTATTTCGGCTCATAAAGCACACAAGAACTCAGTGATGCACGACGAGACAAATAGTACACCTATCTCGGTGTTTAAAGGCTTTCAAATTTTCAGTGAAACTTATCGCTCTTTGTCTTCGAATTACGACGTTTCACAAGAAGTTAATAGAAAATTCGGAGAATCACCTCGTGATTTTTCCGCTGGGCAACGTCCAGTGGAGTATAGAGATTATCCTTAAATAAAAAAAAGAAAGGTTTCAAATGAAAAACGAAGCAAAGGTGTGTTTCTAATAATATCATATGTGTTGGCCGAAGGCTGAAGAGAAAAATACAAAGTTTTCTACTTCAATCTACACTCACAACATGTTTCATAAATTTTGAAGTAACAGATTTGAATTTGTCTTAGAAAGCAGCTTCCAACGGAAAGAGAACATTAGTTTAAAAAATGAATACCTTGTGTTTTACTCTGTCCAAGGGCAACGAACATTTCTTCAATAGGTTAAAGGCGCATATTCTTTTAAAAATACATCTCTATTTCATTAACTGTGATACCTTGTAAAGCATGGGGGAATTTACAAAGCAGCCTTTCGTGCACAGAAGGACGACCATCTCCAGATTGCCTTGAGCAGCTGCCAGATGAAGGCACGTACGGCCGGCGTGACTGGCGCTGTTCATCGATGACGGCTGGAGGGCAAGCAGCCATTCAACAACATCTGCAAAGACGAATGAATAAAACCAAAGTTAGAACTTGCACTTACTTTTACACAAATTTTGAGACACACCGGTCACTTTCTTGCAAAAGTGAGCAGCCAAATGCTTTGCTGGGTTATTGTAAGATGGAAACAACGAGCGGCAAAGCGGTGGTTCGTTAAAGAACTTGAGTTTTGAATTGCAGTTTTAGCAAAAAAGTTGTAGGTATACATATTCTTAAGAAAGAAAGAGGGCTTAAGAATTTTTCTAAATTTTTCGCATTCACTCGAATAAACCCCTATTTGTATGCGTCAACAAAGCTAAATGTCCTGCGACAACGGCATAGTAACAGTAGAAGGCCTAACCAGATAGGCGCAAATTCGTTCCCGGTCGTTCATCTAACTAATGAGTAGGTGGTTTAGAGAGCTGATTCCGACCTATGTAACTTCAAAAAATCGTGTCACTTGAGGTGAAAAAACGAGAACGAGTACAGCACACGTTCGTAGTAGGTGGACTTCTCGATTTCGTTCTTTAAGCTGCACACCTCTAGAAATTCTCGCCTTTTCATTCCAACGTCGGAAACTTTTTTGTAACAAATAGAGTGGTTGAAGGTCGTTTAAAAAAGAAAATTAGAATTTTTCCAAAGTATTGCATTGATTTCCCGCAATGTCGAATGAAGTAGAATTACGCTCTGGCACGGAAAGTTGTAGAAGCCCACATATTAAAAACTGACCGATGCCTAGCTACACGCTAAAGGGCTACTTAACACCCCACCTTTACACCCAGCCTGAACGGCTTCATGTACTGGCAGGTCTCCACGATAGTTTTGAATCTCAAACGATGCATTGTATTGCTTCAGCAATTTCAGCATGCGCATTTGGCCTTTGGCAGCTGCACAATGCGAAGGCGTTCGTAATCGATGGTCCTGCAAAAGTTTTAGTACAAAGCAAAACTAGATGATTAAATGATTTTCTTCGTATTTTTGTTGAGCAAACGCGAGGTGTTACTATTCTTTGTTTACGATTAAGCTGACGTATCGGCGAATTTCGCCTTCTTCAGAGCCTGGAAAGGTCAAGTTGATAGCAACTCACCCGGCCAGACGCCTCCATAACCAAACAAAGAAACCCCAAACCAAGATTTCAATCACTTTGAACACAGCTTTGCACACTCAGCGCCTTTCTATGAGGTTTCCACTAAGTATGTTACGTAGCGACCAACCGCACAGAAATCACATGGAAGCGTAATGTGCCCCTCCCATCAGAATAGCAGTCTTATATACTGCTCTATATCACGCGTGATAATGAGGCATTCTTCCCTGCGGTTCATTTTCGGATTTCTAGAATTAATCCAGAATGCCTCGAGAGTTTTTTTCCGTCTGTGTTCTTGATTCGCGTGCGAGGATCGTGACACATACTTCAAAGTCCTCCCCGTTATGTCTCTGGGTACTATGCGTGCCTAGCGGGGTATTTGGTCTATGTTTGCCGGCTAGGTGTTCTTTTATGCGAACACAGAGGGGTCTGCTCGTTTCGCCAATGTATTCGTCTCTGCACGCCTTACAGGAAATCAGATAAACTATACCCGAGCTCATGCAATCACCGTCTCTACCACTCGCTTCGGAGGTTTTGTGATCTTTACCGATAACTTTTACTCGGTTTCCTTACGTTTTCCATTGCTTTCCATACGACTTGCAGTGTTCACCGTATCACCGAACAGGCCGTATCGCGGCATCGCTATACCAACAACACCAGCAACCACAGGTCCTAGAAAGTTCATAAATATGAGTTGGTAGAGAACTAGCTTTTACTTTTTTAGTGGTCATTTTCGTTGAATTTCACAATTTCGATTTCACATGAAATCTATGACCTCCTTGCTTGCTTGGAGAAACTCACCACTGTGTAACCCAACACGAATATTGACCTTTTCAGATGGAAGATAGGGAACACGAAAATTTTTGTAAATATAGATGTGTGAGCTCTAGATGACAAGCGTGAATAGGAAAACGACAAAGGAAAAGGTCGTCATATTAGAACTATTTCATTTTGAACAACTGGTTACCAGAAGTGTTGTCCCAGGTTTTCTGTTCACTGGCGCTTAATTGGCGTCTTGGCCTTCTTATCATTTTCATTATGAAAAATCTATTCATCGTAGTCCAGCAATATGCTCCAATGATAAATCGTAAATTTGTTTGATTTGATCTAGACCATTTCGCTTCGGTAGACCAGATGCACATAGGTAACTATTGCCAATCGTTTCAACCTGGTGTTCGAGAACTATATTTCTAAGAGAAAAGCTTTAGTAAATTTTCTACCCAGGCCTAAAAAATAAAATAAAACGAAAGAATTTATCTTGTAGGCATCATGTTGCTGCGCTGTCGAAAAATGTGTACAAATCATTGAGTGTAACAACCTTAAAAACTTTGTTTTAGGCTTTTGCAGATACCTTTGGACCACCCGTGTGTTGTTCACGAAGGATGATTCCTCCATCCATCATCCCTCGTGAACAACACATGGGTGATCCAATGGCAAGACCCTGAGGAAGGCGAAGCCGCCGAAACCTCAGTCATAGATATAACAGCAGCAATGAGAGCATCTATACCAACCTCGTGTCGGCTAGAAAGGGCAGTTCGTAAAAACATATTTGTAGAAATATTGGTTAGTATGCCGCAGTCTACAGAAAGTTGTAATTTTACACAAAATTGGTTGTTCACAAGGGTATTTCTGAGGCGATGCTGGTGTTAGAAATCTTTGACTTAAGCATTTTTTTCATGTGCTAATGGCTGCACTCTGTTGTTTGGCGCTGGGTTCCTGGTTTCTTGGAACTGTCAGAGCATTCTTATATTCTTTTGTGAGTTTTCTTTACTCTCGTTGTGAGTACTAATCACTAGAGTTGTTGATCATTTTTTAGACAAGACCTATTATTGTAAAATCATCCTCTTTTTTCCTTCGAGATCTCATCAAAAATGGCACCGAAAGTCATCGCTGTGGCAATTGGCGCTATTGGCACCGACACGGCCTATGGCTCAATACCTATTGGCAACTCAATCTAAGAAGATCTTTAGGAGTTCTTAATCCTTTCCCTTTAGTAGTTCAATCATTGCTACAAAAAAGTGAATTTTTTATCCTGTTTCTTAACAATCATCTTTCATGACAAAATATTTGTTCTGACCTTCGCTCAAACTATATGATAAAGGCAATGTGGTGGAAGTACCCTAGTTCGATCAAAAATGTTATTAACTTGACGTTTTTATCTGCTACTACTGTTTTGGTTTTTCTATGTTACTACTAGTCGTTAATCTAAGTAACATCATAGCAAGCTAACCTGCATTGGTGAATCCTTACTGGCTATGGTGGTGAAGCCAACAACATCCGAAAAGAACACCGTAACAATTTCGCGGCTCTCTGGTTCAACTTTCTGACCCAGTTTTAAACGTTCGGCTACTTGTCTATACAAAAAATCATAATTGATTAATCAGCCTGCCAGTTCATTAATTTCTCATTTAAAAAGTCATATAAAGATGTGCCTGGGTTGCATTTGGTACGAAAGAGCATCGCTTTTCTTTTTCTCCTCTTTTAGCTCATCCATACGTTCCTCCACCTGTGCTTCTAGTGAACTCGCATAAATTTTTAATGTCTTCATTACATGGTTCATTAGATTCTGTTGTCTGTAAAATATCCATTAAATGCAAACATAAATTTCTTTTGTCGAAAAGCGAAACGAATATCTTCAGCTCGGCTTCCGTAGCGCTGAAGGAGCTCGCGTCCTGGGTACGAGCCCATACGGCGCCACTCGTGCCGTCAACGATAGCGGCGCGCTTGATCGCTGGAGATGCTCCTGTTATCGTGTTGACGTATGCGTCTCAACCCGACATCTCAAACTTGGGTAATTAAACCTTTATCTACCTCTAAACTCTAAACCATAAATTTTTTTCTGCGGCATCTACCTTCCATTTCGAAGAGATCCAAGAAACTCTCTGACTTTCGTAATCGAATATCGATGAATTGGATTTTCAGACCAGCACCTTTGTACTAAATTAACCTCAATGCTTTGCTTTTTCTTTTTAATTAAAAATGAAAAATCTCTAGAATACTAGAATTGCGAAAGTCAAGCAAACTTCGATTCCGAATCCTTGGCAATTTAACCGAGCGCAATTTTTTCTCCAAAATTCAAAAAGTTCCACATTTTTAAGTTTTGCAGTGCAGAACATATATTTAGGTTACCCAGCAATTATCTTCCAAAGAAAACCATTGCTAGCACGCGACTATCCTCGCAGACAGGTCTGGGGCTGGTTTTATTTCTCCAGTGTGACGAAGAGCTTTGTTTGACCAGTCCGCTATACGACATAACATATGGCATTTGTATACTAGCAGTCGTGCTCATGCATGACCAGATATCTGCGTTTAAGTGCAGGCGAATTTCATACTGTACAGTGATTCCGTAAAAGCGCTATAATCAAGGTGAGTGGGAAATGTATATGGGATGTACTTTGGAGTCGACGCCATGAATAACGTAAAATTCACTTCTACAAGAGCTGGACACGTCATTTGTGACTGCTTCTGGCTTCGTAGTACTGCTCTACGAAATCCCATCGTATCGCCTGATAAGAAGCAATGGAAATAAACAGTTCTGAATAAGAAGTGCTGGAACCTTCTTCTCATTTAATTTTCGTTCCTCTTCATGAATGTCGTAAACCATTCGAGTTTTTCTCGAGTCGCGGGAGAGCAGCGCTGAGGTGTCTCGAAACCTTTATCGTAGACGAGTGCCATATTTTTGGCCTTTAGGAGGCCATCTGATCCAATGCAAGCATGATAACAATTTGCGGATCAGAGGTTGCAGAGGTGACGGGGTCGAACCTGGCCATTACCACATTACGTGTATTAAATGGGTATCCCTACCATCGAGCTATCTGCCACTGCATGAATGGAAAAGATGTTAGGTAACACTCATATGACGAGCTATAGAGGACGAATACTCAATTTCTGTTGCAAACTCAGGAGGTCCCCTAGTGATAAATGAAAAAGTCATTAACTTGCAAGTGCTCTGGACGCATCTATGTGCTGATCTGGCTTGACTGTTAAGCGAAAGAGCTGCGCCGCCGTTTTCCCACCGACTAATTCAACTATTTCTAAATGTTCAATTATTGAAAACTTCAAAACCAGGAGCCATGTTTTGTCAAATCAATATTCACATCAACAACGTAATTCTTTTTATGTAATAAAAAACTCTGTCTAATAAAAACATTGGTGGCCCGACACTCACCTTTAGCTGTTTTGTTCCGATTTTTAAGATTACAAGCAGATTTCTCTGTAATGAGTTCGCCTGCTATTATCGCAAAACTAGAATAATTCCTTAATCTATCAAAGAAAGAATACATTACGATTAGTAATATCGAGGTTAAAGGAAACTCGGTCTTAAAATATAGAATAATTCCATCAAACACAAGCTACTACCATATAGTAACAGTCGCTCTGAATAACGAAAGCCTTATGGGAGCATTATTAATTTACCTGTAAACATCTCCTTCTTGGGTGCCCAGCGGATCAGCTTCACCACGAATGATTTCAGGAGCAGTCCATAGTAGATCTACAAATTGATCACATAGGAGAGTAATGTTTTACTCAAAAGATATAGCTTGTTTTGTGAAAAATAAATTTCTTACTATTGAATTTTTCTTAAACAAATTATTGAATGGGAAATATCTCAATAGGATAACTCCACCACAGACCACTTTTGAAGGTGTTATTGAGGACTATTTTCATTTCATCTTGAATGTCGTAGAATACTGGCTAAACAATTCTTTCTGGAGTCCTAACATAGCCGGGCTAGAGCGTTCTCAATTTAATTGGAGAGACTATTTTTTTCCCAGACAAGTCTGGTACCAATTTCTAGACCTCGAAGGTATGAGTGGCTTGGTTGGCCTGAAGCGTAATCGAACTAGCACCATGCTCGTGATAACTGACATCACTACCACTGCCCTGTCCCTCCCTACATCCCAAAATATGCTTTATAATACTAGTGTGACTACGGAAAAACGGTAGCATTACAACTGTTCGTTTAAATTAAACGGTTAGAAGCGATTGTTGATGAAATCATGGCGCGTCCCTTAGGATTTATAAACGCCAAGAGCTTTTTATCCTTTAGACAATAACCATTAAACACATCATAATAAATGTATTCAAATCGCAAGCATTATCATAGCCATGGTGTGGGCAGACTGGTCATCAGCAAAGAGAAACCAAGTGAGCAAACCAATTGCAGTTACCGAAGCGTTCCACGAGAGCAGAACCGCCATAACGAGTACGTTATTACGCCATCACTAGAAGCACCAAAGAACCGGTTCAGGTTGTCATGCTCCAGTTGCCGTATCTGGAAAGATTTATACTAAAACTTTATCAAAGTTTTTCCTCTGATAATATCGGTTTAAAGCAAATTTACCAAAGGATTTCTTTAAAATAACTTAGTTCACATATATGCTCAGTGATTGCCAATACTCTGAAATTACTTCACATTTCACAATTGTACGATCCATGCTCCTGAAAAGTCTTTAGAGCTGTCTAGTGCTATTGCTTGGGCAAGGTCTTTGTCTTCCGTGAAAGGACCGTTTCGGTATCAGCAAGGCGTAACCACAAGAAGTTGTCTCCTAATATGGGTCAGAAGTGGGTTTCCTCCACTACTTCCTTACTTACTTGATACAACCACAACGTTGCTGAGATATTGGCAAAACTCTGGACCGCAGGTATCTATGGTGGAGAACGAACGCGCTATTGTCCTTTCCGGGAGTAACGCGTTCACCACCGCACCATGCGGGTCCTTCGTTTCGTCTGTCTCTCAGCTAGTTTTATCGAGAAAATAAAACGATTAAGATGCTGAGATATTTGCAAAACTCCGGACCTCAAGTGTCTTCGGTGAGAACCGAACACGGCAGTCCCCGTTCGGAGGGTGTGAGCTAAGGCATTCACCATCGCACCATGCGGGTCCTTCGTTTCGTCTGTCTCTCAGCTAGTTCTATCCACTCATAAACGGGAATGATCTGGGAAAACAAATCGGCATTGAAACCAGTTAAACTGAAACTAACACGGCTGAGAGAAAGGCGAGACGAAGAACCCGAACGCTGTGGTGGTGATCGCGTTAGCATCCGGAAACGGTAATAACACGTTCTCTCCCCACCGCAGACACCCACGATTTGGAGTTCTGCAGATATCTCAGCACCATTGTGGTTGTCTCACACGCAATATACTGTTTTGAAAAAATGTAAGATGCGGCAGATAAAAAGTTAACATTGTAATCATAGAGATGGTTGTGGACTAATTAACAGCATAGGGTGTTGGATGGGCCGTTAATAACTGTCATCGAAGTTTTAGTAACACTTTTTTACAGACATCTTCTAGCGGCGTAACTTACTTCGGTTGATATGATCGGTAGCTTGAAAGGGATCTTATTTAGCTTTCAAACACTAGATTGTTGTCTAACCCTATCACTTGATCTTACCGTACTGATTGCTATCTCGTTAGCATTGAAAATGGCTATTTTTCGTGCCAAGTTTAACGAATCCAACCTTTCCTGTTCTCCTGAGCACACATTTTTAGCCGTTCAGTAAATGTTTTTGATGAGTGCTTTTTCATGTGTGAAAGATGTGAGGAGAGGTGGTGCACTAGATATTTTTTCTATTTGATTTTCGATACCACTTGTCATTTATCCACTCTCTGAAAGTATTATTTGGATGTTTCAAATGGATGTCGGTTCTCTTTTGGTTTTCCTCTCGTAAATTCTATGTGCTCCGACTATCTATCTAACAATTCGAAGCGCTCGTCTATCTGCTTTGTGTGGAACGGACGAAGAAGCGTCTATTTATCAACGGTGAAGTAAAAGTGGGCAATCGAGAACTGGAGCTTCCAGTTTAGACATAAAAGTGATAGCAAGGCCTGGTGCTAATCGCTGTCTCATGGCTAACCCTTTAATTTGCGCAAAGTATCTTCTTAACCGTCTAAGGATTGGACAACTTAGGTACTGTTAAGAAAACCATTAGATGCTGCATCGACAAGGAATAGAAATTTTTCTCCGTTTCTGTTCTACGAGAAGTTCGAGAATGGCTTGAATTTCGGAGTCATTCGACACATTGTTATAGAGTGAACTAACATCGAGTGAAACCGACTTTCCCTTAACCTCGGTGTGACTAATCAATATGTATTCTTTCTTGATGAGCTTACGCGAGGTTGATAAATATATTTATTTTCGGCTAGCGTTTCAACGTCTTCGTCTTCATCAGAGTCTCAAAAAAAATCAAGGAAGAATGCATATTGATTAGTCACACCGAGATTAAAGGAAAGTCGGTTTCGAAATATTGCTATGCTTTGTACTAGCTGATAATAACACCGACTTCTGCACGATGCAATGTCCGGAAGAACAACAAGTTGTTACGACCGGACATTATCGTTATATCGACCATCATCGATCGCATCGCATCGTGAATTAAAGGGCATCACCAAGTGAGTATGCGTCATTCGAGGAGATGGTCCGCTGAGGAAGACCTGACTCGACACGAAGGCGAAGCCGCCATATCGAGACGAACAACGAGCGTGGACATCGACTCGGATCATCGGCTCTGATGAAGACGAAGACGTCGAACCTTTAGCCAAAAATAAATATGTATTCTTTCTTGATAAGCTTGCACGAGGTTGATAAATATATTTATTTTCGGCTAACGTTTCGACGTCTTCGTCTTCCTCAGAGCCGGTGATCCGAGTCGATGGTCCATGCTGGTTGTTCGCCTCGACGTTGCGTCTTCGCCTTCCTGTCGAGCCAGATCTTCCTCAGCGAGCCATCTTCTCGAATGAGGCATCCTCACTCAGCGATGCCCTTTTATACACGATGCTGATGGTGGATATATAATGATAATGTCCGGTGGTAACAACCTGTATTTCTTCCGGACATACATCATTGCGGACGTCGTGCAGAAGTCGGTGTTTTATCAGCTAGCACAAAGCGTAGTAAAAAAAAAATAAATATATTTATCAACCTCGCGTAAGCTCATCAAGAAAGAATACATAACATCGAATAACTCTATTACAATAACTGCCACGACCGACTTTCTATTAACCTCGGCATTGATCAAGTGATTTTCTTCGTATTTGTGTTGTGGTGCTCAACGGGTCCCTAGAGCGAGCAGAACCCACTGGGCTACTCTTTCACGCGACAGGGCAAAATGGAAAATTTACTGGCTCCAGCTCGCGTCACGCGTCGATCAACAGATCTGCAGGAGATATTGCAGGTGATATTGTTCTCTATACTATACTCCTTTTTAGAGGATGATTGATAGAGAGAAACATCGAGAAGTTGTTTGTCTGTTATTCTAACATTCGACTGACCCATTACTGCAAATTCCCCCACTTTTATCACTAGTAAACATGGGGATAGATTTTCATTTTATGTGCTCTCTAACCTTGTGCATACCACACTTTTGTTCGTGTATAATGTTAAAGCTTAATTTTTTATATCGGTGGTGAGTGTTTTAGTAGAATTCCGCGCGAAAATAAACGAACTGCAGAGTGTTAATTTCGCCATCTGGTGGTTCTTGCTTAAGGGAACCTCTGGCAAAAGGTATTGGTGATGATTTTCTTTTTGTGCTCCGTTACCTAACCTTCTAGCCTAGCCTTATAACGCAGTTGATCTTAAGGCTCATGCAGACTGAACGTGATCTTGAGCAGGATTTTTTTAGAATTAGGTTGACTAGACAAAAACTCCGACCAAGTTCAGATAATGATCACGCACTTTCCGAAAGCGGTGCACCTCCTAACACAGCAACCCTTGATGATTTTTGTGCACACTGTCTCTCAGAGTACCTAAGGGTACCAGAGTAAAACCTGACCAAGGGTGGTGTTTTGTTTTAATCTTTTTGAGCGTCATAAATCTCCAAACCTTCTCCTTAACTTAATTTTAATATGACACCGAATTTTGTCAGAAATAGATATCGATCCAGCTAGTTTCTCTTTCAGTGGTTTTTCTTGAAATCCTGGCCACAATGATTTTCTCTTCTTTGATTTTCTTCGTATCAAACGAGATAAGTTACGTCATTAAGAAGTGCCTAAGAAAAAAGGTCTTAAAAATTCTGTGGCAATTATTGACCTCCCACTCGCCGAAATCTATGAAAAGTAGTTCTTCTGAGTTAATAAAGGATTACAGATTGTTTAAACCGACTAAGCAAGGGCCCTACTGCTTATGATGGCTGGTTTTTTCAATTAGCCTTTGCCATTTTAACTGCTTTTCGGTGTTTTTTCTTAACAAAAAACCTAGAGTCTATTCTATTCATGCTCACTACATTGCTGGTACTGTTTGAGCATATCGTATGCAGCTCGTTAAAACAACCGTAGTTGCCTAATGAAGCCTTTTGCTTCCCATATGAAACTATTATTGAAGCTATGCAATGTAGAGGAGACACTTTTCCTGTCTTTAAAAGTTACATTAAAACTATCCGGTCGTTTTAAGCCAATTTCTTTTACTTTCTAGTCCAGCACTTTTCCGAGTTTTGTTGTTCTTGTTCAGTAAAATTGTATGAGAGATAACCACAACGTTGCTGAGATATTTGCAAAACTCTGGACCGCAGGTGTCTACACCATGCAGGTCCTCCGTTTCGCCTGTCTCTCAGCTACTTCTATTGATCTTTGCCACAGCAATCACCCGTCAGCGGGGATGGTGAACGCGTTACTCCCCGGTAAGGACATTAGCGCGTTCGTTCCCCACCATAGACAGAAAATAAAAAGGTATAACATTGTGATTTCAACTACAGCCGCAGCTTAACTGGGTTCTATGCCGATTTGGGCGCCCCAGATCAGTTCCGCTGACGTGTGATTGCTGTGGCAAAGATAAACGCGTTACTCCCCGGAAAGGACAATAGCGCGTTCGCTCCCCACCATAGACACCTGCGGTCCATAGTTTTGCAGATATCTCAGCAACGTTGTGGCTGTATTTCGCCTAGTACCCTGTCGCGAAATTATAATAGGCAGAAAATAAAAAGGTATAACATTGTACGAGAGACAGTTCTATAGAGATGACAAGAACAACACTGAATTGAAGGCAAGGGCAACTATGTGGGCCTTAGTAGTCATATTTTCTTCTACAATAAACTCACAGTTCTACGTAGAAATAAATTGGTATTTAACATAATAAAAGACGACCTGAAGATCGGAACGAAAGATGGGGCAACGTTCTCGATCTTCAAAGCAGAAAGCACGAAAGGGTATCATTTTTTCCATATCATTTTTTAATCGTGGTAGAAGAATAACAGGAGATGTGGAATTTCTTTGCAGAAGTGTTGCATAGTGCAGGTTGACACCATAACTCAGTAGTGCAATATCTGTCAGTATCAAGAAAATTTTGTTTTTTTTTTCTGGGATGAGAGTATAAAGTCTTGAGCGCCTAGTCAGCGCTTTCTTTATCAAGAAAAAAAAAGAGCTACCTCATTTATCAAATTGGAGCTGCTTTGTGCATTCCATCAACAATGTATTTATAAAAGGATAAAGGATAAGCTCTTCCTATTAACCTCGGCATTGGAATATAAATGCGTCGTTTTCTTGTACAGCAATCGCGAGGTTTTTAAACAGCATACATTTACTTCCATAAAAAAACACAATACAATACAACGCTAGCTGACGTTTCGGCAGTATCGCCTTCTTCAGAGCCTGGAAGGGTATACTGATATACAATCTACTAGGCCAAACGCTTCAATAACACTTACAAAAAGACGAAGAACTCTCCGGCAATTACACAATCAACAACTTCTCGAAAAACCCACCGCTTTTTCGTGACTTCCAATGAGGAAGTTTAGAACAGCTGATTATAGTCGCATGTGGTTGATGACTGCACCATCCCACATCAGAAATTGATGCGAACATACGGGGTCAGGTCGCGTATGACCTCTGGGCATCCATCCCTGCCATTCATTGTAGGGTTTTTGGTATTTATCCAAAAAGCCTCAAGAAGTTTTCGCCCTGGTGTTTTAGGCACCTGTGCAAGGATATTGACTTTCACTGCAAAATCGTCTCCGCTATGCTTTTGTATCCTATGCGTGCCTAGTGGAGTGCTTCGTCTTAGTTTTCGTTTGCCATCTAGGTGTTTCTTTATGCGATACACAAAGGTCTGCCCGTTTCGCCAATTTATTCATCTCCGCAATTATTACAAGAGATTAGGTATATCGTACCTGAACTCATGCAATCACCGTCCCTGCCTTAGGCGCAAATTACGCAATTTGTTGCTTCACATAGACGGTCATAAAGACGGTTACGAACTAATTGACGACATAGAGTAGCCTGTGGTATTTCAACTATCGCTACCGATTTCTTTAGACCTGCCCTTCTTAAGCATCGTTTTATAGCTACGCTTACTTCATCGCTTATAAAGGGCAATATAAACGAAATTTTCTTTTAGCCAAGTCTTTCGCGTGGGCGCGTCGCTCTTCTTCTAAGCTTATCTCATGGGGTTACTATTTCATAGCTATTGGAGGTGGCTATTTGCCGAGCCAAGCCGCGCAACTCTTCCATTAGTTCCCTGGTCGTGCACGCAGAGGTGGCTGGTCGAAACATGTTTCTCACAATCGTCCTTTTTGTGTGCGAAGGGTGGGAAAAAAGGAAATGAACGAGGATGTTCTTGTTACTTGGCTTTCGGTACCAATTTCTCAAGTAACCGCTACTTGATAGGTTTATTTGAACGTTCAAAAGCGGAAGCCAGTTTTTTCTCGGTTTCTCCCGGGTAAACTCTATGTACTCAGACTGCTCGTTCAATAATTCAAAACATTTGTCTATTTCCTCCTGCGTAGAGAAGACGACAAAACAATCATCTACATTTCTGCAGTATAGTAGTGGCCGGAGGTCGAGAACAGGGGCTTCTATCTTAGATATAAACACCATGGCAAGGCTTGGTGCCAGTCGCTGTCCCATTACCAACCTGCTTATTTGCGCGAAATATTTCCCAGACCATCTGAAAATTTGATTGTATATCAGCATACCCTTCCAGGCTCTGAAGAAGGCGATACTGCCGAAACATCAGCTACTGTTGTGTTGTATTGTGTTTTTCTATGGAAGTAAATGTATGCTGTTTAAAAACCTCACGATTGCTGAACAAGAAAACGATGCATTGATATTCCAATGCCGAGGTTAATAGAAAGTCGATGCTCGGAACTATGACAAAACTTTTTAAAATTTTTTCAATAGAATTTATAGAATTTTAGAATTTTTGGAATTGATCCAAGACGCTTCAAGAGTTTTGCGCGCCGATGTTTTTCTTTAAACGTTCGAGAGAATCGCTCGGAAAACGCTTTCTTCGAGGTCTCGGGCACCTTAGGCGTTATTCTAGAGAGGCGTTAAGAAAACGCTTAAAAAAAGAAATTCAAAAATGAACCGCTAGGAGGAGTGTCTTGTCATCACGCGTGACCTAGCGCCACACCTCAGGCTAATCCAATGACCTGACACAGACACAGTTATCACCCATGTATTACTCTGTGTGGCTGCTATCCATCAACTAACTTAAATACTTACAACAAATAAGCGGTAGGTGTTTAAATGAAACTCTTTCTTATGCCAATACAAATTTATTTGTTATGTTTTATCTGCTGGGGTTTTGAAAGTGTTTGGCTGGATAGATCGCATCTCAATTTGACCTTTCCCGGCTCTAAAGAAAGCGAAACCGCCGAAACGTCAGCTATTGTATCCTAATAAATTTTCTAATAACAACCTCGTGTCTGCTTATTGAAGAAAAACATCGAATTATCAATCAATGCCGAGGCTAAAAGAAAGTTGGGCATGGGAATTGTTTAGCTTAAGATTCCAGTTATAAATATCAATCGCAATT